TTCATTTTACGAAAACCTCTATCCTTTAACAATTCAAGTAATTTATAAACTGTTGCTGAGTGGTATGTTACTATATTCATACTTTATTCCAAAAAACCGGATCTATGTGACAAAAGGTAAGGAATTTCAAAACAGCAAATCGAAGATATGTGCATCGATGGTTTAGTGTTAAAATGCTCACCAACCAGGCGCGTATGTGGTGGGGGGTACGATCCCCCAGCTGATGTACTCCTAAACTCTTCTAAGCCGGTAGTAAGCCCGGTGAACATAGAAGGTGGGGCATGAGGCCACCGACACCACCCCATAGGAAAACACGTCTGCTACCGTAACTTCAAAGCTCTAGTTCGAAGTCCTATGTTCCACTAGGAACGTAAGGAAATAAAATAAATAATAAATACGTGGTTGCAACTACTGGCAGACAGCTATTACAAAAATAATTCATAACAAATGTGAAACAATGGTGTTGTGTCCTTGCCTGCTTAGCTGGTTGCTAGGCTAACAATTGTAGGTGGTTCTCATGATTGTTGCAAGTGTGGCGTAGGAGGTGACTGGTATTTCGTTTCGTATCAGTGAGTCGCTTAAAGCAGTAATTCGGTGTGTGGTACTATTATACAACTGAGTTGCGTTTATTATGAGAACTTAATCTAGGAGGCTCTACTAATGTCCGTCTACTGTCCGTTACACCATTTTCACTGACACTCTATACTTAATATCTATGCTCCAGTATTTTCGGTCTCCAGCAATGGAGATGGATATCCTGAAATTTCCACTCACGTGAAACAGTACATATTTACTATCACGATTGAATGTCTAGGTTAAATTATATGGCATTATTATACTCATCAACTCAATAGGTCTGTGTATCTTGCAATCTTTCTCTATGCATTGACGTTTAGAGTTAAGGCATGTTCAGCTTATATTTGATGGCTGTAGTTTCCTAAATATGAGCATGTAATTTCTGTATGTTCACTAGATATTACCGAGATTGTGGATTAATTTCCAAGTTACACATTTGTACTACGCCATTAAGAGTAAACGTATTCAGTGTGAAGTTGATCTGCAAGTAATCTTGGTGAGCGGATGACGCCTCAACAGTATGGAAGTTTCATAGATTGACTTGAAATTTGCGTATAACCCTCTAATGCTGGAAAATATAAGGGGCCTTTTCATGCATATGGAGTCTAAATAAAAACCAATTGTAGACTACAAATACTTTTATTTGCATGAGAATTTTAATTGGTATTAATAGAATCAATGTACCCACTTTGTATATTAACATTCGAAATTATCATTCATAAATTCATGGTGTGATGGTCGTTACATATGCTTGAATTTTTAGGTATGTGGAGTTCGCCGAATAGGAAATCAATAAAAAATGTCAATCAGTCAAACTAACGCTGATACCCTTCATCAGAATTTTCTTATGTAAATTAATGGAATTTTTAATGTACTCTTAATTACTTCTTCTAGACCTCTTAAATGTGTTGTTATACTGTGGGCTGTTGTAATATATGAAGCCGGATTAATGCATGTTAAGCTTAGTCAGTACTGTAGTATTATTAGACTGTGACTCTAGTCATACGTAGGATCTAGCTTTTGTTTATTTGTAGTAGCTCAATGAAGATACTAAGGGGATTTATCAAGTTAGAAGGATAACTCCGTGCTGCTTTATCCCTCTAAGCCACCTTACCTAGCCACTTACAAGTCCTTACACTACTAAATGCCAAAAGTCTGTTGCTACATGTCATACAAGCAAATGTATAAACTTAGAATTAATAGCTAATTAATTCATCTGTTAATATGAAGTGACATCATCAAATAGACTGCTTACTTGACATTGCGCTAGGAAACAATTTCTATTTATCTCTAATATGCCACTGAATCATGCGGTACTGACTAATATTCATCGTCTTTATGATCAGTGGTTGCAGCATCTGCATGTCTACTTTATGGACGTTAAATTACGGCCATATGCACTAATTGGCACTAACAAACTTCAATGACACCACCTTATCCTGGTTGACGTGTTGTTGCTTAAATCATGATAGCAGCGTGTTTTACAGAACTCGTCACACAGCGTATCAGTCTAAAATGTACACCACATGTGGGCATAATGTTTATGACCTAGGTCTGCAAATCAAAGTAAATGCTTGTACTGTACATTCATTACTTATAAGACTACCTAGTGAAGTATGCAGGTACTATGATTTAACCCATTATACAACTTTTAATATGGTTAGACATAGTCAACATATTCTGCTTAGTTCTATGACGCATTACCTGAAGCTTTCTTAAAATATATTCTGCCGAAGGTAACTCCTGTAGCTGCTACCTTAGTGAGCAATTCAACTTTATCTTTGGATCACAAAGTAGGAGTGGACATCCTGAGAACTTTCTTGGTAAACGGATCGTCTTCCAGCCAGAGAAAGTAAATATATCTACAACTCCACAAACGCGTTTAGAGAAATTTACCCCATCAACACAACACCTTCACTGATTCACTATTCAAAATCACTTACAAAGTAAAAACAAATTGACCGAAGGCAGTATGCTTCTGATTTGTCGATATCGCAATGCACCACGAAGAAAAAGCCATATCCATAGGATTATACCAGTCAGATGCACGATATTAATCCAAAGCACAGTGACTACGGATCTTGAAAACAAAACACTACTTTGCCATCTAATTGCATCTACAAAAGTTTCACGAATAGAATGAAGAAAAAGAAGACCACTAGTTCAAGGGAAATTTGTTTGAAGTTTCCCTAAAAATACGCATATCCCGTCAGTTCATTTATTTCGTTGTAATTGTTTGGTACTTTCCTATCATGTGTGGTTATAGTGTTTTATTTATTTTTCAGCTTTTAACGGAATAGCACTATGTACAAGTCTTGGAAATGATGTATCTGAACGTGTTTCGGTGGCAGAAACTGTTGTTTCCAGTTCATTTTTGGTCGCTCCAATTGTCAATAGCCCAAATGGTTACTTAATACGTAGAAATCTGGAGTAAACAATGTCTTTCACACTGAAGTTCATGGCATACAACACTCTACGAGTCAATCTGGTGAAGAAGGTAAGGCTAGAGACGTTATTAGTATGGTTACAAAGAATATATTAGACCTGGAGAATTTAGAACCTGGGCTGAAGTTGGAAAAGCTTTGAAGTCTCTAGAAAAGGTGAGTATGAAATAAATGTGCCTAGTGTCAGATTGCAAACACCTAGTATGTTAGCATAGAACTCAAGTTAAACGAGGATGAACCAAATATGAAGTATGAATGTGTTTTGGTTGAATGTATTTTCGGGGACAAAAAGGAACCCGAAAGCAATCCGAAACCTCTTAAGGGTAAGTGTTATATGTGTTATGTACTAGATGAAAATACATGAATTATAATTGGCTGCAGTAAAGCCAGTGTTAACAGCTATTCGATATGTTGTGAAACCATTCAGAAAGCGGTTTACATACAATCATCTCCGGGGTATACGAACTCCTCTAATGGAAGGTAAGACTTCAACTAGCAAGAATAACCTATCGGATTGTGGTCTACAGTCGATGGTATTTTCGAACTCACAACAAGTTGATAAGCTGATTATTGTTCCTGATGAAAACGTTGGCTGAATACGAATTGCTTGTTTCAGTTCAAATAATCAGACTCTTATTTTTCGGATATCTGCAATCTCTCAATGGTGATAACTACGGGATATATTTCACTGACAACCTCTTCCATTAGAACTTCCTGGTATCTATCCAGTATGCACTAATAAGATAGCGCCGAATATCGCGGTTACGGGGTTTTAGGAGATGAAGGGATATTGACATTTATGCAGAGGATGATGTATACAACCCTTGGGATCGCGCACAAACGGGTGAATGAAACACTACGGTATGCTAAGTGACGTAGACAGTTGGCTAAGAACTTCAGCCTGACGAGTCGATTTAAACAGTGAAGGTCAGGATTCCATTGTGAGTAATGAATGTTTTAGGCTATTAATTATGAGAAATTATTTACCGCAACGGGTTTTCCTAGAATTCTGATTAATTCCTTGTTCATTTCATCATGAACCATGAAAGAGTCCTGGAATTTGTGATACTTATACTTTACGGAGTCTAACCGACATTCTGTTTTTCTCGTTTTTTTTTACCTCAGATTCGCAGACAGTTAGATAGACTTTTAGAGATTGAAGGTATCGACGTTCGCGAGTTGTACGGATTATACTAACGCAAGATCTTATACCAAAAACCACTATAGTGTTCGTTCTTCGAGTACCAAATGGTAAAGCAAAAGACCAGATTTTGTCGTCCAAAGTACGTATTATATTTCGGGACAAAATCGCGGGTAGAAGTGAATGCTTAGCTAGCTAGGAATCGTGCACGCACGTGACACGACGAAGTACCAAATGGCGGGGATGCTTGACCGTAAGCCTTCAGCTAAACAAGTCGACTTAAACAGTGGTGGTCAGCATCCAATGTTGAGTGATGATTGCTGTGATTAATAATTTTGGGGAATTATTTACCGCTACAGACTTCTCAGTATGAATCCACTTACAAGTGCTCCCCAACACCTAGAATTCGGTTCTTTGTCATAATTGGTCAGAAAAGTATAAGACGATGAACATGTGTTACACATGAGGCGACTTCGTAGTCTCCTGATTAGAAAAAAGTTGGCAGAGAGGAGATATAATCATGAGTTCCAAAAGTCGGAATAACTATGGAATTGATCTGTCCCTTCTTCTCCTCTATACAGGAAGAGGAAACCACAGAGGAAATAGCAGGAGTGTTAAAAAGCTAAGAAAGAGCCATATCGCTGTGCAGCAGTGGTTCTTGCATGATTAAAAGTAGAGACTATACTCCCAAAACAACTTGTTCAAGAAACCATCACAAAAACAGAGACATTTATTAGAAAGGGATAAACAGACATGAAGTCTTCTATCCCCAGACAAAATAAACTGAAATCTGAAAAATGAAAAAGTCCGTATATTCAGATTTTGCGTCACACTTGAAGGTCAGTGTAGTGGTTAATACATTTTTCCCTACCAGATTTACAGTAAGTATATCCACATGAGTTCAGTTTCTTTTGCTAATTTAAACTTCTATATAGGTTTTTATTGATTGAAGAGTGTAGATTTTGCATACGCAGACTGGATAATTCACTAACGTCCGTGAATTATATTTAACCTAGGTAGGATGGAACAAATAGTGGAATGCTCCTTTTAGAAAATGAAGTAGACGGAAAATTCAGAGTAATTTGCCAACTCATGCGAAATAGGTGGGAAAAGCTGGGTAGACTTTATGAATGAAATCGGAATTCTCCGTGAAATGTCAAGTGATTTCTGTTCCTTTAAGGAGATTATTGGTAGAGTGCACTACCATATTTTTTAATGTGATGGCCTTATGCGCATACTGTTTTTTCGGTCTAAGTTTGTATCATTTGCAAGTATCCTGTGGATATACGATGGGTTGTTATTAATACGCAACTATTTTTCATTGGCATACTTTTTAGAGAGATTTCCGAAAACCGGTAGGCTTAACCTGGATTGTGGAGTAGTTATCTGAAAGCGGCTTGTGAATAAATAAATGAGGCAGTCACATATTTCCCCACTAAGTACCGTTGTCTATGTTAAGCCTTCGATATCAGACGTCATATTTACAGCTGGTCATAACAACGAAAACGGATATGATTGGTACTATATGGATGTGCAGTATAATAACTAACGTATAACATATACAAATATCGGTGTACCTAAAATGACTGATGAACACTTCCTAACTGACAGAATATCATAAAGAGACATCTGCATTTAAGAATTTAGCATTCCTCTGGACTACACGCATCCAGGTTGCTTTGGTGTTGTTCGAAGGCTCATGTGTGGTTGAATACAGCTAGTTTCGGACAGTTAGACCCGAACATCGGGTTCATAGGTTAAATTAACACAGAATTGTCAGACACTGCAAGTTGCTTTCAGAAAACCTCAGAGGAAATGAGGTACTTCGAAATCCCTCCATATTCGAACGGTTAGTGAATGCTCTTCCGTTGTGCTTAAGACTGACATTCTTTCCGTATTGTTGATAGGCAGCTTATTCTAAGAGACACTCAATATTAGGTAAGGTATTTATTTCAACACAAGACCTGCGTCTTTCATGATGCACTAAACGCTCCAGTCAGACGAGTAACTGTTTCTAATCCGACTGAAATTTCCTTGAAGCTGGTCCATTTTAGGAACGAATTTATAATTATCTACAGATTTAATGAAAATCAACACGTTGCCATTCACAAGTTTCTATAAATCCACCGAAGACAGGGATGCACTACCAGTATATCCAATTTTACTTAATATTCCACACTTCATGAAGGAGCGGTTATCCCGCTTTTTCCGGGTTTCCCGATGTCACACATAATGTCTGCCCACCTTTTCTTACGCATTATATGCACGTTAACGAATCAGTCTTGTCGTTTACCCTGCCTTCTGAAAGGAACATCCCACTGTTTATCCCATTTTTCCCTTGTTAAGAAAGTATTCAGCAACACTGTACATCTAAAACCATCGAAATTCAAGCCTTGTCTTTACTGGTACTGGTCTACTTATACACTTTAAAAATTTATTGCAAAAATATTTTTCCGAAGCCCCATATATTGAGGAGTTAAAAAGTAGGCAGTCTTTCACATCATACTAGACATTTGACTTCAAAAGATATGAATAAAAGTTACTACACTACTATATTAATTAACTTAAACCTTTCGAAAATTTGGAAAAACAGAAAAATTGAGCAAAGAATATTCCTTTCCGATAATTTTCTCTCCTAGCTCTACAATATATATATATATATATATAAACATGATCTGTCTAATTTCGCCTCTTCTATGTGTATTTACAAACTTTACTGCTCCTGTGGAGCCAGTTACATACGCCGCACAATTAGGCGTGTTAATCGTTGGATTTCCGAACATTACCTTGCATGGTTAAGTAAGGGACAAACAAAATCCATTCATAGCTCTATTCTGTTTCATCTCGTGGATACAGAACACAAGATTGATGTTAACGAGACTTTGAAAGTCATCTGCATACCAATTAGTCTTAACCTTAAGAGTCCGTCTACTACATATTGCTGAATCCGTTGGAATCCACATTAAGAAGGCTAAATTATGTATCCAAAAGTAGTTGGTTCAAACATTATCCTTACCTTGGCCATCAAGGTTTCAATGGTCCTCAGTTTATTGTGGAAATTTACCTACTTTTATTTGATATTCTAGTTGCTATTACATTTTGATGCTTACTATAAACTATGCATCTTTCGTGAACTGTAATTCCATTGATCTTACTTAACAAGTCAATAGTGTTTAAAAACACCAATATTGTTAATGACGATTATTCTTGAATATACTATGTATATAAGCATATATATATATATATTTTACGAGTTGATCACGGACTGATATCAGTTAGAGAACCATTGAAAACCAGGGAGTACTGGACAGTTGCTGTTTCATCCTAGTTTGGGAATCATCGGCAGTACGCACCCACTGGGATTCGAACTCAGGACCTTCCGGTTACAAGGCATGCTCGCTAGTGACTTGCTACAGGTTGGAGCTTCCTGGAGTTCTAGTGAGAAGTCGTGATCAGTGAGGTCCAATTAGAAGTCACATGTGTGGATGGATTTCCCACCAACGACAATAGTTGGGGTCGCGCTAAAATCACGAATTGGTAGAAGTCAGAATTCATGCACTGGCCATTGAATCGGGTCCCAGTGGCTGAATGGTATACGAGGTAGCTTGCTTTGTAACCGGAAGGTCCTGGGTTCGAACCTTGGCTGTGGGTGCGTACTGCCGATGATTCCCAAACTAGGATGAAACAGCAGCTGTCCAGTACTCCCTGGTTTTCAATGGTTCTCTAACTGATATCAGTCCGTGATCAACTCGTAAAACATAACTAATCCTTACAAACCAAACTATAGAAAATATATATATATATATAATTGTAGAGTCAGAAGAGGCAAATATCGAAAAGGATATTCTCTGCTCAATTTTTTGTTTTTTCTAAATATCTGAATGAATATTTTTGCTATATTGAAATCTTTTGAAAATTGGTGTGACGTCACCTAACATTCAAAATTCTGCATTATCCATGCTGTGGGAGATTTCAAATGTAGGGGCAAGAAGAGAAACTTATGCCCATCTTCCAAAGTAGTCGTCTTGCCTTCTGATGTAATTGGTACTGCTTGTGTTCATGAATGATGATCAGGTGAATTTTCGACTGCTTGATCATCATTGTCAGTCAGTTAATCGCGGTCCACAATTCAAAAGACTGTTGCTTCCACACGTTGGAAAAATGTTGATCAGTGGAGAAGACTTCATTTAGATCTTGCTATATCTGTCGCATTTTCTGAGTCGGCAAAGTAACTACTAGTGAATACATTTCCTTCTGTAAATCCGGGAGAGGAGTTTTATGTGTAGTGAAGTCTGTTACATACCTAGATCATATATAACCTACCAAGTGGTGTGGTAATATACTACAAAAATAGTTCGACTAGACTATAATTCCCTTCCAATTGCATAACTTTTTGCTTACTACTTAAATCGATTTGTTGTTATTAAAATGTCATTCGAAAAGTTGGTCAAGTTCCACTTAATCAACCCTATGTTTTAAGTGTTCCTACAGTATACATGCGGAACATTTATTAAACGTAGTGGACTTACATGAACATTCAATATATGATCATGTTTGTGTTGCGTAATGTTGTCCGCAGCCGACGATGAAGCACGACGACAGCAGTAATAAGACCACAATACCTAATTCCTACGCTTACAGCAGGAGTAGTATTAGGTTGAAAGAAATTTTCCGGATACAGATGTGACACCTATTTATAACTGATAATTTAGTCTATATTAAGCATCTATAAACCTATTTTTCAAGCACCTAGATGATACACTTCAGAACCCACCGCAGTGGCGCAGATTCATTCTTGGTTGTTTCATCTTATTTCTCTGTTGGTTCTATTTTTTTGTTGTCATATAGCTCCTTAGTTATGTTATTTCTGTACACTTATCCCCGTTTCTTTGTTACATTATATTCAATATGCCGATATGAGATGTGACATTTTGAGCTATATAGTTTATTATTGTCTTTCAACTGGTACATTTCACGGAAGACCGAATAATAATGAAGTTAGCTATAGGTTGAAATTTCCCAAAGTCTATTGACTGCATGTAGTCATCCTTGTCCTGATACCGTTAACGAATTAGCGTTGACTGTCAGTTTGTTAGTCACTAATCTCATTTTTATTTCTTTTATTCCTTTACGTTCCCGGTGGAACATAGGGCTTCAAGCTAGAGCTTTGAAGTTTCTGTAGCAGTGGTATTTATTTTTACGGGATGGGGTTGCTAGCTGCCTCATGCCCAACCTTCCCTCTTTACCAGTCGTATTACTGGCGTAGCGAGGTAAACGAGTGCGTCTGTGGCCGGGGACCGAACCCCGAACCACCTGCGTGGTTGGCGAGCATTCTACTGCTGTGCCACCGACTCCCCCGTCATTAATCTTGTTACTAGATTATTTCTCTTAACTATTATGGTGATTCTAATCCAGCTGTTTAACTCCTCTGTATTTTTTAATATTCAGATATTGTAAAGTGAAAAAATTTCCTTTTTAGTGTGAATTGTTGAATTCCCTCGATGGCATTTTAAGAATGTCTTGTGACCTTTGTCGCATAGAATTTACAGCATTGAAAAGACAAGTAAGCTGGAAATTAATTATTTAAAAAAATAAAATCTTTAGAAAACATGTAAAATTTGTGGCTCAATACAGTGCTCAAGTTGTTTAAGATACAAAACAAAGTCACACAAACCAATATGCATCGACTGTTACTACGATAGTATAAGGTAGATTTTTGAATTTCGGCATAACTCTATCATATTTGTTCAGTATGAATAGTCCTAATGGGAAAGCTGACAAACTTGCTTCGCTAAGGTATTTCTTCTCTCGTATTAATATTTTAACCACAGGTGTAAAACAGAAGATAAAAATTGTAGTGAGAATTGTAAAGTCACATCAAATCATGGTATGATATCGTTCCGAAGATAATTTGTTTGTGTACTTTTAGGTGTAGAAACGGATAATATCATAAAAAGGCTAGAAGCACTCAAGGTGCCTAGAACTGAAGGTAATGCCTAGATCTTCTAATACTTTTTTTTCTGTAGTAAAGGAAAACGTCTCTAACTTGGAGTCGCGTTTACAACAACTCAAAGGACTGACAAATAAGACAAATAAGAAGCCTTCCTGTTCTATAAATACCTCAAAGAAAGAGGAAGATGAAGTTACTAGGCTTGTAAAGCAGGTTAGTAAGACTTATAGTGATTGCTTTTTTGTTTTCGATTACATACCATTTCTCTTCATTACCTTTCTCCTTTTTAAGTTTTGTTTCAAAGCTTACTACTATCGATGTAATCCAGTCTATTGAATGTACATTGCGTAATACGGCGGTGACGTTCAGCTACTGTTTAGGTCTGCTGTTATTGAATTGCTTTTCAGTTCAAACTTCAACAAGAGAGGGGATTGTGTACACCGTTATCCATTTGCAATTAATAGTGTTCTCTGAGCTGGTTGGTTTAGTTGCGGAGCTTTCGTTGTCCTTCTGGACAACATCTTCAGCTCAATATTTAGCATAAAGTGAAGTGATTTGAATTTTTCATGAGTGATATAATTGCGTCTCCCGGTAACCATCTTTACATACGTATTGATCATTTTCTATGGACTTGGATTTTAAACTTTCTGGTCACATGATTTACTTTTTATTAATTGGTATATTTCGTCTATATTAACGTGTTTGTTAATTGCATATTCGTTTGAGTACCAGGTGTCTAGGAATTCCCTGGCACTTTTGGTGTTTTCTCTGTCTAAGATTTCGACATTATTCCAATCAAACTGGTGTCCATAATTGTCTGTATGCATTGATACTAAAGAATATATATCGTGTCTTTTCATGGCTGATTTGTGTTCCTGGATTCTGATTCGAAGGGTATGCCCACTTTGGCCGATGTAATGCCTGTTACAGTTCATATATGCAATTTATTTTGTAAATGGTATTAATTTTATCTCTTTTTTCTGTTGGATCTTTCGGTTTGCATAATATCGAATTAAGCGATTTTACTGGTTTGTGTGCTATATCTATATCAAACGGTTTCAGTATTCTGGCCGTTATTTCAGAGATATTTTTCTTGTATGGTAGGATGAATTTTCTTGTGGTCTTTGTTGGTGGTTCCTTGTTGGTGTTGTGATTCGATTTTAAACACTTTTTGATAAAATTTTGTGGATAACCATTCTTTTTGAAGACCGTTTGTAGGTTTTTTTGTTCCATTCTTTTTAACTCTGGAGTGCTACAGTGTGTTTGAATTCTTTTAAACAATGTCTGCACACAGTTTATTTTGTGAGTAATTGGATTATTGCTAGTATAGTTGAGTATTTGATCTATGTGCGTTGATTTTTTATATACTTGTGTTTCCAAATTTCCTGTATTGGATCTCCTGATTAAGACCGTTATCCATTGTTGTGAAATTTGTTGTTTAAACTAGTTTGTTAGGGAAGTAAATGAAATACGTTTTTAATGAAGATGTGATAAGATTAAGGAATGATTTATAGAGGGGTTGAAAATATAAGTAAGGGCTGGTGGAGAAGTCATCATGTTTTAGTAGACCAAGGGAGGGATAATGGTTGCATGAACTTCTTTTGAATGCATAATTTAGGTTTAATAGTTCGAATGCCTATCGCCTCAGTTGTGTGCAGTAAACGAATACGAAGTCTATTAGAAAGATTCGGTGGGATACGATGAATTACCTTGAAAGCTGTCGTTTTCTTCACTACATGACCACTATCAACTAAACTAGTGACTGAAATTTTCTTGTGTAGATTAGATGTAAGTGAATTGTCAATAATAAGTTCTACAGAATGCTGTGTAGTTGTACAACTTTGTTGTTCTGTGCGGTATCTACTACTAACTGAATACTCTTCACATAACCGATGGGTGCTTTGTTGCTTTATTTGAATTAACTACGTTGTACTTTTCATCATTGTTGAAACCATACAAGTAGTAGTAGTAGTCGTATTTCGGGTAAAAGTAAAGGAAATCAATATTCTCATCAACACTGTAAGTTATAATTATTCAGAAGACCATAAAAGATTAAGCAAAGAGTATTCGTTTCTATAGTTTCGTCATCTAGCTCTACAGCTGTATATATATGTTTGGTAATATTAGATAGTTGGAGGCTATCGGCCACAGGAAGCCTTGGACCTAGGTTTCGTGCTAGTTGGCACTCGTCAAGAGGGCGTATCTGCCACCTTAAAGGAACTCATGTCCCTTCTGAGATTCGAACCGATGTCACCCAGTTCTGGAACCACAGACGTTATCACTGAGCTATTCAGCCTTGCGATTGACCTCCTGCAGGACTGTATCGAATATTTTGATTGGACACTAGTTAATAACTAATGTAATGTGTCTAGTCCTTTATTTGGTGCAGACTGAATTCTATCACTCAGGTTTGCAATGTGGCTTCCTGCCGATTGTCTTCAATCATCTAATAACAACAATTCTGAATGCGCTGTGATGGTGACCCACCTAGAATGGTGGCCACACTACAAACTTGACTGATAGAATTCAGTCTGCACCAAACAAAGGACTAGATACATTACGCTAGTTACTAACTAGTGTTCAACCAAAATAAACCAATTTGATTGGTTGTATAAGGTTGTGCAATCAAATTATAACAACATCTAGTTTGCCCCACTAGCTTAAATTTTCAATTCTGGTATAGGACGGTTTTAACTCATTACTACAAAATATAGTTATTTGAAGAATAGACAGAAGTAGAGAGGTTTATACCAATAAACTCCTGTCTTACCTCTCTTCACTTTAGCACAGAATTCTGTCATTCTAGTTAACTCATTCGGGGAAAATAGCCATCAGGGCATTTGGGAGAAAGGTAAAGGCCCTGCAAACAGATATCTATTCAGCGATTTCTTCCTTAAAAGCAGCTGCACAATCGCATTTATATATACATAAATGTACATAGTAGATACAATTATAATTTATTCCACATACTGATGGAGATCAAAGAAGGAGGGTAATAATTTTCAACTCGATGCAATTATAGAGCTTCCGATTGAACCAATGTCGCCTCTTTGCAGCTGTGCTGGGTAGTGTTCTCTAACATGTTTTGAAAGGACGTGCTTAGAACTGCCTATGTATCTAGCTCAGCAGGAACAGGTGAATTGATATATACACATTAGAGTGGTCCGATTTGGGAATTAGAGCTTCAAATTTCTCAGAGGCAGTTGGCGACTAGAGAATGTCACTCTTAGCCATGCTGTAGGGAAGGTCTTCTTTAGGGAACGAGAGATTCTTCTCTGTAGGATATCTGCCGGTAATTCTTCCCTGAAGTCCATGTATAGTATAGTAATTATTCACCGTAGACTTGAAAATTTGTAATAGAATTCACTTATAATCTTTTGTTATAATTATCAACTTATGCAATAACTTCTTGTTTTTATATTTTCAGTACACAGAGGAAGCATTACTCGATAAAAAGTGTGGGATTACCGTGCCTGAAGAAGAACAAATAAGTGATATAGCCCCGAGCGACTATGATCCGTGGTGTTGTATGTGTGATGAAGACGCCAACATGATGTGCCAAGAATGCGATGACTACTTCTGCAAACGATGTTTTAAGTATGTCTTTCCTCATTTTTCATGAAAATATGAGTCTATGTATGTGCTTTCTGATAACAGCATTCCAACTAGTATATATATAAATATGCCTTACCGCTTAGTGGAAACACCTACATATGTTTCTTTTGTGTTGTATGAAATAGATGGAGGGGATTTTTGAGATGCAGTATTCTACTTTCTAGCTGTGGATAGTATGTAGGTGCTATGGAAATCATCCCTCCTTTTAATACTCGCATACCATTCAGCCACTGGGATCTGACTCAATGGCCAGCCCATGAATTCTAACTTCTACCAATTCGTGATTTATTTTAGCGCGACCACCAACCAATGTCTTTGGTAGGAAATCCATCCTCACACTTGACTGGATGGACCTCACTGGTCACGACTTCTCACTAGAACTCCAGGAAACTCCGCTCTGTAGCAAGTCACTAGCAAACATCAGATTAATGTTCAAGAGTTGATTTGTAAGGATTAGATTCATTTTTTCGAGTTTGACCACGGATTGATATCAGTTAGAGAACCACTGGAAACCATAGAGTACTGGACATCTGTTTCGTCCTAGTTTGGAACTCTTCAGCAGTACGTGCCCACCGGGTGTCAAAATTCATGGCCATTGGATTGGTTTCCAGTGACTGAACGGTCCACGAGCCTATCTTGTAACCGGGAGGTCCTGATTTCGAAACCTGGTGGGAGAGTACTGATGAAGAATCCCAAACTAGGACGAAACATGTGTCCACTACTCTGTGGTTTTCGAATGGTTCCCTAATAAATATATTACTGTGGAAAGATACTTAATGTAGTTGAAACTCACTTTTTATTCATCCTCTGTGCTCATTTGCTGATCAGATCTGTTACAACATTTACGTCAGTTTCACTGTCAGATGGTTGAATCGGTTAGGCAGTATCCAGTTGTATGTATTAGTTAGATGTTATTATTAAAGTCAATGAGGTATAGTTGTCCGTGAACTTAAATAATTTTGCTATTTTATAATTCCTTTACGAGCAAACCAATTGGTTAGGAGTACTACAGTTCGACTCATTTGAATAATGACGCTACTGCTTATAATAATATTATTATTAGGATTGTTTTTAGTACTGATGGAAAAAATTGCATCCAGGTTTTAAGCACGAAACAGTCGGCTTAAATTATATCTCTAATATAAAATTTGTAACACTATGTGACTTTGCATACTGTATTAGTTGTATATAGGTCGAATACCTGTGTTCTGTGAATAATAGCTTTACGAGTGTACTATTACTATCACTTTGGGTTCCGGGTAAAACATAGGGTGTCAACACCACATTTCTATTTCATCCTGTTCTCTGCAGTCCCCCTTAGCTGGCTCTACGGTTGCCTTTAAGTTCTCATCTCCTCCTCATATGATTTTTTTTGGTTGCAGCTTGATTCCACACAGTACTTTTTGGTAGAAGTATGGAATTTTCAGCATGGATATCGGTAGCCCAAATTTTGCAGGCCGACCATAGATATCGGGTGTGCGTCGGCAGGGGATCGAACCCCGGACCATGTGCATGGTCAGCGGGAGTCCTAACCACTGTACCACCGACGCACGTCACTCTCGGACTTCCAACTCGCCGTTTTCCATTTGGGTTTCACTAGAGGGCCTGATGCGCGATGTCACTCAACGGTTTCCCCAGTGTGTGTGTGTGTCCCCGATGCATCTCATTTTCCTTCTGCACATATTTGTAGGGTGGCAAGTGGTTGGTTAGTTCATTATCAGAGTTTCGTGTCGGTAATTTAATTTAATTTTAGATTTTCCCGTCGATTGATTGAACCGAAGTGCTCGGTCTCAGGTTGACATGTCGGTTGGCTTCTTGTGCAGATGCTTCGACGGTGTCTGGGCATGTAATTAGAATTTAATTGGTGGGTGGTAACTACCAGTAGAATCCAGGATGCGCATTTCGTACTATTTGGGACTCGTCATCATCGTCACTCACTGGGGAATGCAGGTACATCCAACTGATGAGTCTCAAATAGGACGAAATGCGCATCCTGGATTCCACTGCTAGTCACCATCCACCAATTAAATTTCTTGTCGGTAGTCGTTTCTGGCCGACCATCTGATTTTCAGTATAAAGCGAAGACACCGGTTGATGAAAGTCTTCAACAGACTGTTAGAGATGCTTTTCGTGACGCACCATATAGAAGTAGGCATTGAAACTGCCATTAGTATTAAAAATCTAAATTTTATTTCTTATACTGAGTTCATTCAGCAGATTTCCGCTAACTAGTGTATGATTATACGGATTTTTTTAATTTAAATAAAAAAGGTTGTAATTGCATCTTTTGCTTATTTTTATTTCAGTAAAACGCATAATAAACGAGAAAGAGCTGAACATCCAACAGAAGTTTGTAAATCAAGAAGTAGTTTTGTCCAATCAGCACCAAAATCAATCAAAATTAAGCGTTTCATTTGAAATCAGCAGAAAAGATTTCACCAAATCATTTATCAAAGAATCTCTATTTATGTAAATACTTTACTTATTTACTTTTCTTCTCAACAGAACTTTTGTTCGAATTTATTTTATTTTATTTTCTATCGGCGCTTGATTTGATTACAATATTTCCCTGTTTAGTTTCTATAATTAACCTTTAATTAATCGTAATGATGTTAATAAGATTTCTGTTGATTGAAAATTCAAGCCTTTTTGTTATTGTTACATTGTCTGTGTGTATGTGTGTATATGGGAGGCGAACCGATACCCTGAATTCGTGAATATGTTCATTTGTCTTAGTAATATGATGGTACCCCAGCCTGTTTATTGCTTACCATAGATTTATCTGGACAATATCTTCATTTACGTGTATGTATGAATACGGAAGAATGCGTGGAAGAGGGAGAGGGAGAGAGAGAAACTGACGAATCAACTGAAAATCTTACACAGACGTCTGCTGCAGGAATTTGTAGGATGCCAATTTTAGTTTTGTTTACAAGATGGAGGTCTCGGCGAGGCCTCTAGTGCGTCGATTGCACAGCAGTTAGGACGCTCGCCAACCATGCACATAGTCTGGGGTTCGATCCCAGGCCACCGACGCACTCCTTTACCTCGCTAAGCCAGTAATACGACTGGTAAAGAGGCGAGGTTGGGCATGAGGTGGCTAGCAACCCCATCCTGTAACAATAAACACCACTTCTACAGAAACTTCAAGCCTCTAACTTGAAGCCCTATATTCCACTGGGAACGTGAAGGAATAAAAGAAATTACAAGATGTACCAAGTTGTATTTTTAGCTTATTTCTTCAATGCAGATACTCAAATTTGGACTTGTAAGGCTAAAGTGAAACTAAAAAAATCGATTTTTGACACTAGTGTATGAGAGTGAAGACATGGCTCATCTTCTTAAGCACTTGACTTTCAGCCTGTATAGTGGACGTCGAGTTCCAATCTCGCCGCATTTACCTCTTCCCGGGCAACTGAATGGTATCATTAGTCTCCACGTACTTAATCACTTTCACAATTTTCTAATTGATTTACAATTTTTCAGAAGAATGGATACTGAACAAAGAATACTCTTTTCGATAACTTCATCATCAGGCTCTACAGTTATATATACATTATAATGAATGAATGAATTAGTTTTATAAATCAATAATATTGATAGATTACAGCTGAATAGCATCAACATAAAATAAGCTGAGTGTCAGAGAAATTGGGAAAGATAATATTACAAATTTATGAATTTATAGTCTCTACTGAAGGCCGGCCAGGGCAGTAGTAGGGGCTGGCTGGACTTGCTTAGTTTGCACACAGAGCACTGGTTGTTTGAGGCGAATTGCAATAGCCTCTGCTGTGCTTCGATGATTTTGGCAATTTACTAGGCACCCAGTAGATGATAGAGGAGAATTCTTCCACTCTGCCTTTGTGACCGGTTTGCACCAGATGGTCCAATATCAAACTGTTAATGGTTTTCACTACACCTTTACTTAGCCATAGTGGGAGATGTTCTCGAGCACGAAAAATCAAGTTCCTAGAGTAACGGCCAATATAACTCGCTCCACCACAAGCACAATTGAATTGATAGATACAATTTGAAATGGCTAGTCTAGGTACTTCATCTTTCAGTCGAGGTAGCATTATCGGTCGTGTAGAGAATGAGACCTGTAGTTCGCCAGCATTAAAAGTTCTTGGAACTGATTTTCTTAGTTTCCTCGCAATTATCTTACTTGGTATATCGCCATTGAGTTCGAGGAGGAGAAATTCCACTCATTCACCTAACTGGTCGATGTGAGTGGTATACAACTAACTACTTATTTGAATCAGTCAGTCAGTAGTATATATTATCATGTATTTATGCTTGTTTTCGTGTGATTACCCTTTATGATATCAAGCGTATCATATCATATATTATTGTGATCTGAATAATTTCCGTTTGAAAAGTAAACTGTGGTAAAATTTCACCTCTTCGAAGGGTGTGTTGTAAATTGTAAATTGAGAATTCGATTTATAATGGTAACACTAGTTCACCCAAGTAACTAGCCGACCAGAAATCAGGTGATTTGAACTGATTCGACTCTCTGATCTAGGACAAATCAGGTGCATCGCTGATAAGTTCTGTTCCAAACGAGAGAAACAGCCTTTCAGTGTTTATCTCCGTTATCGCTAAGATTTTATTTTGATAAAATCACACAGTGTTATATAGTAATATGTACTGATGACGACGTTTCGATCACAAATTATTGCCGCTCATAGTAATTATATCAAGGCACTACTCACACGACTTTCTTGGTTCATTTGTATACAGGAGTAAAATTGATGAGACATTTGAATAAAATACAATAAGATGGGAAATAAGATGTTTTTTACAGTAAAAATAAGTAACTTGTTAGAATGTCATAATGTGAATTGAATACATTTTAAGATTATTTATTATCCTCCCCTGATTTGACTGGCGGTAATATCTTCCATATCTCTGGTATTTGCATTGAGTCATTTCTGTTGCATGTGTTGTGTTGGGTGTAGGCTCGATGAAGCACGATTCAGTAATCAACTTCTCTCTCTCCACCTAGCTATATTACTTTTTAGAATTTTGACTCTGTCGCACTCACTCTATTGTGTGTTAATGCATGCAGTGCAATTACTGAGTCGTTTTCTAAATTACTTATCTTCGTGGGATCAATCATTCTCACCTTAGCTAGATTCTTATGGTCTGATAATCTCACTACTCCTGCCTGATCTACTAGTTTGACCTATGTAGTTGACCTAACTCACAGTAAATTATTATTATTTTGTTTAGTTGGCTCCACCGGGTCCTTTAGCCTACAGAGCTTGTCCCTGCTTGAGTGAGTTTGTAGGTTTGAATGCCACCCTAATTCCTGCTTTATCGAGAATCCTACGTAGGGTCTTAGATGTCCCCTCCTTATATGGTAAAACTGTAGGCTGAGAGAGGCTTTGTTCATCGAATCGACTACACCAAACACAACACATGCAATAGAAGTGACTCAACGCAAATAATACCAGAGATATGGGAGATATTATTACCACCAGTCAAATCAGAGAAGTATAATAGATAATGTTAAAATGTATTCAATTCACATTATGACATTCTAACAAGTTACCTATTTTTACTACAAAAAAACATCTTATTTTCAATCTTATTTATTTGATTCAAATGTCTAATTATGATTTTTTACTCATGTATACAAATGAAGCAAGAAAGTTGTGTGAGTAGTGCCTTGATATGATGACTATGAGCAGCAATAAACTGTGATCGAAACGTGGTCATCAGTAAATATTACTGTATAATAAACACTGTGTGATTTATCAAAATAGAAATTTTATTCATAATGGAGTTATACTCTACCACAGTGTCCAAGTTTATACTTTCGGTGTTTACATTATTTCAATCTGGCTGGTAAGCACTGCTGCTTGATATGAGTGGCATATAACTAGTCACCTCAGTCAGTCAATAGGATATCGTTTCATAACCTTAGCACGATGCTTAAAACACCTTCTGCTGGAAGTAACCGACTTCAGAGAATAAGAGTTTTAATGATAACACTTTCAGTTGATTTGTCTAAACATTCCAATTTTCAAAGCATGTGCAACCATCTGAATTTCACTATAGAACTTTGAACAGAGATGGAGCAGTTCAAGTTGCCGCATTGCATATAGCACATAAGAGTAGATAAAAAGAGATTCCAATGAACTAAATAAGCTGATATGTGAGGGAAAAAAGAATAGTGACATGCAAGAAATGAGAGTTTAGTTCATCTGGAAGATCTCAAATAGTGTAGTAATCTGCGCTATTTTGAAAGATTTCGAACCACACCACCAATAGTCTCCGTTCATTGGTTCTTAGGATCCCTAGGATCCCAACCAGTCGGTCAGGAAGTCTACACCTCCTTACTTGACTCAGGCTAACTGTGTTAAAGGTTTCATGGACTGATTCCAAGTTTTAGTTTGACCATTCCTAACTCTTCTTCAACCTGGTCCATCCTATGTCAGCTAAAGTTGCTCGCTGAAGAATCCCGTGGTTTGGCATATGCAATACGTGTCCTAGCTATCTCAATCGATGCAGCTTCACAATCTTATCGATTGATTTTCCCCTGCTTACATAAGACTCTACGCCTAACCTCGTTATTACTCACCATATTATACCACTTAACACGGGAGACAGAACACAAATACCTGTGGTCAAAGGCAACTAGCCTTTTAATATTTTCCCCTTTCGATAGCCATGTCTCACAGCCATAAAAGTGGACTGCTGCTACTCATCAAGGACACACCACGCTTGATTGATAACCGGATATCATATCTTTGCGAAAGATGATGGATGACATGAGCTGGTGAATGTCACACTAGCCTTTTATTATCTGTGCAACTAGTTGTAATTTATGGAATCCGTCTGGTGGGATATCCCTATCACTAGTCTCTACACATACTTATACTCACTTGATGATATGTGTATACATCTTAAAACCGAATTGAGCAATTTGCTTTCCAACCTACAAGGCTGATATACCTAGTGTGTAAATGTAAAGAAAAAATAAGGCCGTCATTTGTTTGATCAACACTGATAATTCTTTTCTTTTAAATATTGATTTTTGAGATGCACTATGAATCATTCTCATTCTCATTTTCTTTCTTTCTTTTTTTAGAATGTTAGTGCTTAATAGATTTTGTTGTCTTTCCATTTGTGCACTAACTACTCCTACGAATATAATGATTAGTTATTTTCATCATTTACGCACACTTCACTGGTGGTCGTGGTCAGTTCACTGTTACTCTTCACTGCTGTACCTAGAGTTTTAATGGAGTATAGTAAAACAAAAACCGAAAGAAGAAGAAGAAGGTTAATCACATGTTTTGAAAATATTTTCTTTTGGATAAGTAGGCATATATTTTACCGATATCCTCATACAATTAGGAAACTTACTAAGATTGTTGTTCTGAATCCAACATGATTACTGTTATTCGTTCTTTGGGACGACTTCAGGAGCACATCTGCATTGTATTCTATTCTCTGACATTACTCTCAGCTGGCTCCCATAAAGCTTTCATTTCCTCTTCACAGGATCTTTCCTGTGTTACGCTCGGAGATCTAACCCGTTACCTCCCACTAGGGTTCCATTCGAGTGTTGGATCACTTAAACGCCTCTTCAGCGTATGTTCTATTCATCTGTATTTCTCTCCGTTCTTGGATGGTTCGCTGCACTGCTTATCTTCTCTGACTGGCCATCTAAACTTCAGTATTCAGTCAGCAAAAGGGGTGGGTATTGATGGAAGGGTGCAGTTTGTTGGTAGGGCTTTTTATGATGCAACATGACTCGGAACCATATAGAGGCACTGATTTGTATTTAATGTTTTAGATGCGGATCTTGTTCGCTATGCTGAATACCGTCGATCTTCACAGTGATTTTAGAGTAATCCTTTTCTGATCTTGGCTTTAACATCCTCATCCGTGCCTCCTGTTTATGGTTGAAGAGATGCTGCCTAGGCAAGTGAAGGTGGTGACTTCTTTTAGATTTCTCTCGTTGATGGTGATTGGTGTTGGTTGTTGTGTAGTTGTCATGTGTCTTCACCACCTATTTCTCCTCTATGTCCATCTGAATTCTTGTCTTCGTTGCTTCTTCTGCCTACCTGTTGGTTTTCGCCTGTAATTCTTCAAGTTTGTGAAACACAAGACACAAATCATCCACGAAACCCAAGCCTTCTAGTTTCAGTCTGTACGTACGTCTGTTTTCTCACCCGCCACGACCTGTCACATAATTCAGTCCACCACTGTTAGGAAGATCCCAGGTAACAGTAGGCAGTCTTGTTTTACTCCTGTTTAAACATAAGACCAAAGGTAATTGGAGGATGGTGACTAGCAGTGGAATCCAGGATAACGCGCATTTCGTCCTATTTGGGACTCGTCATCAGCTGGATGTACCTGCATTCCGCAGTGAGTGATGGTGTTCCTACCGAGGCTCGAACCCAGTGCCAATAGTTTCAAAAGCCAAAGCGTTATCCACTGGACCACTTAGGCCACAAGAGTCACCTCTTGTGCAACGAGTCATATTAATTATTTAACTGAGTCGATGGGAAAATCTGAAATTGAATTAAATAATTAATATGACCCGTTGCACAAGAGGCAGCTCTCGTGACCCAAATGGTCCGGCAGATAACACTTTGGTGTTTGAAAATATTGGCACTGGGTTCGAGCCTCATTGGGGACACCATCACTCACTGCAGAATGCAGGTACATCCTGCTGATGACGAGTCTCAAATAGGACGAAACGTGCGTTATCCTGGATTCCACTGCTAGTCACCATCCTTCAGTTAACTTCTAGTCACATGAAAAGACATGTTCAAAGCATCTGCACAAGGAGCCGACATGTCAACCTGAGACCGAGCACTTCGGTTTAATCGATCGACGGGGAAATTTAAAATTCAATTAAATATTACCAAAGGTTGGTAGAGAATTGAAAAGCCTTAAAATCATTTCTTGTATTAATATGAATAATTTACACTGATACACTTGAGCGGAATCCTTCTTCTCTCTGGTTCAGAACGAAGTTAACTGTAATGGCGTGCACTCTTCCATCAGTACAGTATTCTATATCGTTCCCAATTAACTAATCAACGAAACTTCTAAGCTATTATAGGCATACATTGATTGGTGACGATGATGTAACCAATGTCATTCGTCTGTCTAGTCCTTGGTATTAGTACAGACTAAATTCTTCTGTCACAGTCAAGTTTACAATGTGATCAACCAATCTAGGTGTCTCGTCAGTGTAGTGCCCATTGAACTGATCTTAGGTGGTTGAAGGCAAGTGACAGAAAGCCTTGCACTTGAGTTTCGTACTGGCTGGCACTCGTCAGTGAAATGTCTCTGCGGTGGAAGATTCAAACCTATGGACATAGTATCAATCATATTTGAATGCATGCAAGAAAACGCACTAGATGCTTTTGACTAGTTACATAATTCTCTATGAGATACTTCAAAATTGAAGTAAATATTTCACATTGCGTGTCGAATATCATGAGAATATTCGATGTTGTGCATATTTTGGATGGTTAGACAAGTTCTCCAGTATATTTACAATTGTACTATCCAATTTGATAGTTAGTATTGCCTTGTTGTATTGCTCTCAATGGTTTAAGAGTAATCGAATGCGTGTGTTACTAGGCCTTTGGATAAATCGCATTCCATTCATACACAATCTTCTTCTGTAATTATTATTTGTCACATAATAAAGATAAACGAAAAAAGAAAACAAGTAGTTCAGTGAAGAGTCTCTTTTCGGCGAATTCATTTACATAGCTGTACAATCGCAAATATAGATATGGTTGTTTTGTATGTGTGTGTGTACATTAAATTTGTCAAACGAAAATACAATTAGTAAGTTCAGGTGAATTGGATGTTGATATAAGAGAGTAGTAACAAAAGTGATGAGTTGTCACAAACGATTGTTAAAGAAGAGTTACGTAATAACATGAATAGTTTAATGAAAGAGTTGTACTCAGGGTGTACATGGAGACAAAATATACGAAATTACAAAAGGTTTTGAGTGGAAAATAAGCATACAAACAAAAGATAAGTCAAATCAACATAGTTGTTACCATGTGAGTAGAAGTGGTTGAATAATTTTCTTTTGTATGCACAGTTCCGGTTCCTCTAGCTTAATGGATGGGGCTTCTGTGATGCAAAGAAGACGGAATCGTACTGTCTTTGGAAGGTTGTTCTTCACTTTGTAGATTACTTTGAGGGAGGAGGCGTTTGTTGAGATGGAATGACCAGTGTTGACGAGGTGTTCTATTATTGCACTACTTATGCAGCCACGCTGGATAGTGTTCTTTGACCCTTTTTGACAGGATACGCGTTGAGCGACCGATGTACCTGGCTCCACAGCAACAGGTGAACCTTTGTTACTACCCTCTTATATCAACACTTAATTCACCTGAACTTAATAATTGTAATTTCGTTTTATTACGTAAGTCTTCTTTAACAATCGTTTGTGACAACTCATCACTTTTGTTACTACTCTCTTATATCAACATCTAATTCACCTGAACTTAGTGATTGTATTTTCGTTTGACAAATTTAATGTACACACACATACAAAATAACCACATATATTTGCGATTGTACAGCTATGAAAATGAATTCGCCGAAAAGAGACTCTTCGCTGAACTACTTGTCTTCTCTCTATTAATGTTCGAATGGGAATTTTTCAGGAAAAAGGAAAAATTACGATCAACTTACCAGTGGCTAAATTAACACTAATATTATTTAGTGCAATATTCATTCGTAGAGTTGGTTTACACCTTAAACGTATAATTGGTTGAATCAATCGAATCTGTGCACCTATATTATTATTATTATTATCATCATTATTATTCTTTAACTCTGAATCCAATTTATACAAATATAGCATAGCAGCATCATTTTCATATTTTCGTGTAAAATCTGGTGCTGAAAATATCGTCAATAAACGTGGATTAACAAAAAATTCATAACCTTTCAATATTAATTCACTTGATCGTACAATTTGTTTTACACCAATACGCTTGCAAAATTCTTCCACTGCATTCGATCCATATAGATAACCTTGACCACATGGATTTTGATCCCATCCATGTGTTTCATCATCAGGATCAGACCATATAAAATGCATTAATAAACGATTATTTTCAATATCTGCGGGTAAAATAATATTTTGTTCAATAAAAGCAATAAATTGTGTTTGTGTTTTAATATCGAATTGTTCAATCATTGGTGAGATACCACTGTGTACACAGAAGATTTCATTTTCCAAAATTGCCATAACCGGCATATACTGAAATATTTCCATTAGAATATGCCAAAAATTTAAACTGAATCGCTTTCCACATTCTTTATAAAAGCCGTGTGCTTTTGTCAACCGTACACACTCATGTTTACCTCTAAGCAGGTATATTGACTTTGGATAGCATACTTTATAGATAATTAAAAGTAGTATAGTCTCTATACTCTGTGGTCCGTGGTTAATATAATTCCCTAGGAATAAATATTTTTTCTCTGGGGGATGACCATAGTAATTTAATATTCTTAATAAATGTCCATATTGACCGTATATATCACCGATAATTGTAATTGGTTCAGTTAAATCTAACTGGAGACAAACAGGTTCAGTCATTAAAATGTCTGGTAGAAATAAGGCAATATCTAGCACTTCTTTTTCGTTTATTTCAACATTTATCCCCTTCAATATTTGATTATCAGTTAAACGTGGTATTAAATTCATAGCTTTATTAATAACTAGACGCTTAAATTTATTTGATGATATCACTTGACTAGACATTTTCTTTTTTTCTAAATAATAATATTAATTAAATTAATGTCTTCACAAGAGAGGTAATATTATTCTAGGATTAATGCCTAACATATTTGCTGTGACCTTGAAGCGTTGGTCAAGAAAATCGATAGTATTCAATGTTTCAATATTTCATGTGAATTAATCATGTGTTATCATTCGCATTTTGAATATAAGCTTCAATGAAATGCCTGGATATAAGTTTTTGTTTGAAACAAGATTAATATTTTTTTTCAGAAGAGATATGGTATCTCATTCACAAGAAAAAAAACCTTTTTTGAAATCGAGGTGGTGACTGATAAATTCACATGAAACCTTGAACAGAAATAGATTTGTTCAAGTTAGCGTGATTCATGCGGAAGAAATAAAGTGCTATTAAAATAGATAATAATGTCATATGAGAAAAAATAAATTTGAATAGGAGAATCACAGTTAACTGGTTAAATGTTTAACATTGAGTAAAATGAATTAATCAGGCTGAAATAAAATGTCAGTATTTCTTTGTAAATTTATTTGATGGTGATTTCACTGTGAAAATTGGCATGTATTCAAGAAGGAGACTGTTTTATCCGCATATTACTAATATCTATGATCCAGAGCAAATAATCATGAATTCAGAGGTCATTGAATTCCTGCCCAAATGGTTGAATGATCAACGAGCTCAATGTCGTACCCTGAGAATTTCTGCATCGGTTAATGACTGGATCGTGGAGTTGTACTTCTGGAGAGTCCAACAATTGGACGAAACAGCTGTCTAGTTCTCCTTGGTTTGTAGTGATCTCTCAGTGACGGAAATTCAACAATCCTAAAATTGTAAAGACAATCAATGTGCACCGTGATGGCGAGCTACCTAGAATGGTGGCCACGTTGCAAACCTGACTGATAGAATTTAGTCTGCACCAAACAAAGGACTAGACAAATCACATTAGTTACTAGTGTCCAATCAAAGAGATCAAGTTTGTCAACCAGAGGTCTTCTGAATTCTGAGAGACAGCGTATGCATATTCTTCGTGATCTGACTGGAAACTACTCACAATGTAACAGATAAATTCATTCTACTTCATTGAAATTCTCAGCATCTTTACTGGTCTCTAGTAAATACTACTTTCTTCAACGTCCATATTTGTCTATTCTAGTTTCACACCATTTCTGTATACTATTTTGAAGTGTGATAACTTGAACTGATACAAGTCTGGGCTAAGATCTTCATTGATTTTACACTCAGTTTGTTGTTTGATGAAAAACTCCCATTTTAAAACAAAGTAGAATTTGATAATCACTCCACGAAATGGGGTTCAGTGAAGTCTCGTACCAGCCATTTAGGGCTGTATTAGTCGCCTGATGTAATTCTTCAAAGTTCTACAAATCAGTTGTTGCAGGCTCTTAGTGACTCACTAACATGCGTGTAATTACTCTTCGTTATCTTTTGAATTTCTGAATATCTTCTTTAACCTTCATTGATTATTTTCACTTCAAGTGTTGGTTTTCAGGGATTTGATTGGTTACAGAACCATTGGAAAACCTGGGATTATGGTATAGCTGTTTCGTCCTAGTTTCGGGTTCTTCTGCAGTACGCACCCACCGCCAGGATTTGAACCCAGGACCTTTCGGTTACAAGATGATCTTGTTGACAATTCAGCCTTTAGGACCCGATCCAATATCCTGTGAATTCCAACTACTGCCAGTTTGTGATGTGTACTGCAGTCAGAGACGTTACCACTGAGCTATTCGGACTCGCGTTTGACCTCCTGTAGGACTGTAGTGGGTATTTTGATTGGACACTAGTAACTAGTGTGACGTGTCTAGTCCTTTTTTGGTGCAGACTGAATTCTATCTATGTAATTCTATCTAATCTATTCTATTGTTATTTGGGATATTTATAAATTTGAGAATGTATTGATTATTCTGTGCATATATATATATATATATATATATATATAGTAGAATTCTAACATGAAAATTGACTGACAGGCAAAAATAGTTATAAAATGACACACACACACAAAAAGAAATTTTTGAGAAATAAAGAAGAAGTTAAATCTGAGCATAACTCTGGATTAGATTTTGGTTCATTTTGATGTGACGCACGTTCACTCCTATTTTTAAATGTGAACGAGTTGTCATTAATTATGAGCAATGAATTCTTCAGTAAATTTTACCAACAAAAAAGAGAATCCAGCTTGACTGTATACCAATATCGAATGGAATAGTCTAGTACAGAATTTTTGAGTAAATACTTGCCTTTCTGTTGATTTGGTGAAGTCGATGATAACTCACTCACTCACTCACTCACTCACTCACTCACTCACTCACTCACTCACTCACTCACTCACTCACTCACTCACTCACTCACTCACTCACTCACTCACTCACTCACTCACTCACTCACTCACTCACTCACTCACTCACTCACTCACTCACTCACTCACTCACTCACTCACTCACTCACTCACTCACTCACTCACTCACTCACTCACTCACTCACTCACTCACTCACTCACTCACTCACTCACTCACTCACTCACTTACTCACTCACTCACTCATTTTAGTGGTAGAATACTCACCAACTGCTACACACGTGGTCCGGGGTTCGATACTAGGCTAATGTACTCTTAAACCTCGCTTAACTGGTAGTGAACACAGTAAATGAGGAATGTTAGGTGTTAGGATAGCAGTTTCACTAGATAAAAAGACAAAACCATTGCTAATGAAACTTAAAACTTCAAGCCTGAAGCCCTATGTTTAATTCGGAACTCAGAGAAATATAAATAAACAAACATTATAAGTAGCCATCTTTAAGCGTTAATTTTTAATTCGCCTATTTGAAGCCTGCTGTTAAAGTTTATCAGTTTCAAATATAGTTTTTCTAGCTGCCCAGAGTGATTTCCCATTTATATTGTCGTATGCATCTAAATGGAGGGGGATAGAAGTCAGAGATTTGAATTTGGCGGAATTATTTCAACTGTGAATTTACAATCAATAAAAACGAATAAAAGTGAACAGTTGCATGCTATAGTAATAGAAATAATCAATCACAACAGGTAGACTTTATACAATATATATCAGAATGTAAGAAGTTAAATTTATCTGCCTTCAGGGCAGTGCTTTTGATTACAATATTAAACCTGTTTTATCCATCATTACAGAGATTATTATATCAGTTTTAATAATAATAATTTGCTTTATTCCAAAACAGTACATGTGATACAGAATGGAATTCTCAGCATTTTTACTACAGTATTGCATCCAGTTAGTACATTATCAATAAATGGAATTCTACATAGATTAAGGAAATCTCAGTTTATAATGACAACAACATATTGGCATGTCGGTAGCAAAGCCAAAGCTGAACAGTGTTTGAAGGTGTTAGAAAAGTAGGTGCTATCATATATACTGGCGTAAGCGAGAGAAAGAAACAAAGCAGCACATAACGGAAAAAAAGAGAGAGAGAGAAAAGGAAAAGAAAGAAAGAAAATGTTGTACCTATAAATGATATGAGTTGGAAAGACGAGATCCAGTTGTTCTACTGACTATTTAATAAGTTATAGGTGTCACGCCTAATGCTTTCTATATCACACAGAACACGAGCTAAGTAGGGTATGGTTGAGTTTTTGTACTTGCTAGTGCGAGCATATAGTTTTCTATATAGGCTTCTGGTTTTGCCTGATGAGATGCAAGGGGAGAGTTGTGAATGAAAAGGGTGGTGTGAGTTAGGTAAAATGGATTTAGCCCATTTTTCACATGAGTCCATGTGCCTGTCAACCAGAATATTAACAAGCTGGTTAAGTGGCTCGTTACTTACCCTGCTGACAACCTTTAACATCCTGCGTAATAAGGTATAGTCTTTCTTCAGTAGCCCTGGAAAAACTAAGGGGGGACAGTAGAGAATAATAGGCAGAATGCGAGAGTTAACGAATTGTAGGAGAAAGGGTTGGTTCATACCAGAATGTCTTAACTTCTTGATGCAGAAGGTAAGACGGAATATTTTCTTAGAAATCGTCAAGATATGAGACGACCAGGAGAGATCACCAGATAGAATGACACCTAGGTATTTAATTTCTTATGAATTCTCTTATGAAACAATTACTTCTACAAATGTTTAGTGTCTAAGATATTGATGGCGAATGTTTAAAGGGCTATAACCGAAGTGTAGAATATTGTCTGGGAGATAGACTTCCATGGCCATTTAATTTGAGATCAGATATCTAAAAGAAGAAAGTATGCCGTCGAAAAATGAGACGACGACTCACAATTCCGTTGCTGAATAAATGATTGTTTATTATTATTATTCCCTTAACTATTACCCGTAAGCTTTCATCTTCTTATTATACGATCTCTTCCATCTCATCCTCAGATCTTTGCCCATTTCGTTGTTTAGCATTAGGGTCCCACTGAAGGGATGACCTGGTGAGTAATATCATTCAGCAATCTCCTCAGTATGGGCTCAATGCGTCTTCAGCTACTCCTGCATATGTTCTTAGTTGGTTCGTTTCCAGAGTATCTTGTTGTTAATTATCTCTGATCTGATCTGATCTTCAGTATCGAGAGAAAGTAGATGTTAATGAGGGTTTTCATCAGGCTGTTGGAGATACTTTTAGTAACGCGCCAAGTCTGTGAACCAAATAGAAGAAGTAACTTAACATTGGTGTTCAAAATCCAAATCTTGTTGTTTGTATCGATTACAGAAGATTTTCACATTAGTTTCAAAGAGATGAAGGTTTATTTTGCATTTCCAGTCCTGCTTCAAACATCCTCATCAGTGTTCACGCCCTTAGTTAAAACGATGTTACCTGTGTAATTGTAAGAATTAACTTCGTCCGAATTTTTTCCATTGATAGTCACTGATATTTGTTGCTGCCGGTTAGGTATCTTCTTCACCTCTGTCTTCTTTATGTTCATTCATTTATTGCGTTCTGTTAAATAATCTAAATTGAGGAATTCTCATTTCCCAAGTTGATTTCACCCCATCTCTGGCCCTCGAGTGGAATGAAAATGGGAAGCATCGAGTGAGTCATCCTAGGGTGACATGGAGGAGATCGTGTTAGCAAGAGATGAGAGAGTTTGGTCAATCGTGGACCTAGCTGAAGAGGATGGCAGGAAACGGGACAAAGTGGAGATGTGTTGTTGAAGTCCTATGTTCCAGTTGGAATGCCAGGGAATAATAATAATTATAATAACCTTTATCTGTTTAATTTTCCACAATCCACTGTCTCATTCACTTCAGATATCAATAGGTACAGCTGGTGGAAATCACCATTTTCCAGACTAAATTCTCCATACTATCAGACTGTCAAAGTTTCTAGGCACAAACAACTGATTTTGAAGTAATCAATGTATTTACATCTTCAGTTATAATGAGCAAAGAAATTGCTGTAGTGCATAAAATCACCGTTGTGATGACGGAAGCAATAAGGGACAACAAAATCCATTCATAGAGCGATTCCATCTCATCTTGTGGATACAGAACACAAGATCGATGTTAACGAAGCTTTCAAAGTCATCTGCTGCATACCAATTAATCTTAACTTTAACTTAAGAGTTCGTCTACTACATATTGCTGAGGCTGGCTATTGGAATCCACATTAAGAAGGCTAAATTTTGTATCCAAAAGAAGCTGGTTCAGACACTGTCCTTACCTTGGTCATCAAGGTTTTAATGATCCTCAATTTATTGTGGAAATTTACTTAATTTTATTTGATATTGTAGTTGCTATTACATTTTTATTACAACTTATGCATCTTTCGTGAACTGTAATTCCATTGATCTTACTTAACAAATCGATAGTATTCAAAAACACCATTATTGTTTTCATTTCCTTTACGTTCCCAGTGGAACATAGGGCTTCAAGCTAGATGCATGAAGTTTCCATAGCAGTGGTGTTTATTCTCATACCGAGCCTTCCCCCTTTACCAGTCTTATTGCTGGCGTATTGAGTGAGGTAAAGAAGTGTGTCAGCCGGGGATCGCACCCCGGACCACATGAGGAAATTATCGAGAAGGATATTCTTTGCTGAATTTTTTCCTAAATATTGAGTTGTTAAGATCAACAGAATTAAGGTTCATAGCGTGTGTTAGTGATAGTATACATAAAAATATAGTTATAAATTGAATATTAGATTAAATTAAGAAAATTTACTTATTTATAAAAGTTTTATTTTTATTCCTTTACTTTTCCAGTGGAACATAGGGTTTCAGGTTAAAGCTTTGAAGTTTCCGTAGCAGTGGTGTCTACTTTTACGGAATGGGGTTGCTAGCCGCTTGCCGAACCTTCTTTCTTTATCTGTCTTATTACTGGCTTAACGAGGTAAAGAAGTGCGTCGGTGGACGGGGATCGAACCTCGAGCATTCTACCGCTGTGCCACCGATGCAAAGAAAATTTATGCGACAGTTAAGAATAATTAAGCCAAGAGTAGCTTGTAAATTACTTACCGGGAAGAAGGAATTGATGGAGTTTCACATTTAATTAATGATGACCAAGGTAGGGAAAGCGTGTGGACGAACTTCTTCTGATCACATAAGTTAGATTTCAGCTATATGTGAAGGAGAAACTCGTAAGGCAAAAATAAGATTGTATACTCAATTATATAACAGGCTCCATAAGAGTGTATAAATAGATATATTCATTGTTGAATTTGTGAACATTATCCTGAGGGATTATTTGAGGGATAAACAAGGTCTATTCGTAGTTCTTTTTTAGCTCACCTTCTAGACACTGAATATAAAGTCTGTATTTACAAGTAATTCTAAGTTATCTACTATATTTTGACGAATCTTAATTTTGCTCCACGAGTTTCTCTTTTAGAGTATAACTAAGACTGTTGGAATCCACCTGAAGAAGAAGCCAAACCTAAGTGATCAGAAGAAGTTCATTCACAGTTGCTCCTCATGCCTTGGCCATCATTACCTGATTGCAAGTAATAATCTGACAACTTCCTACTACCTCTAAGCTACTTAGAATTTGCGCTTATTTTAACTATTTTCAATTATTGCATTTTAAAGTTTTCTTAATTTTGTCTGATACCTAAGTTAGAATTATATTTTTATACAATTGAAATAGTCAATAATTCATAAAAACCAGAGTGTGTAGCATGATTTAGAAATACGAGAGAAAATGAAGTTGGTGGGATTTCGAAGCACCTTAGAAATAATACTGTTTGTAGGCGTTAAACTCACAAGCGAGCTGGTGTCTGTCAATGACATATTACATTAATTTGCTTGATAAATAATAATGAGAGTCCTTTTCAAGTTTGATCACGGATTAATGTCACTTAGACAGCCATTGAAAACCAGCGAATATTCGACAGCTATTTTCACCTAGTTTGGGGCTCTTCAGCAGTAGTAGCCCCGGACTATTTAGCCACTGGGACCCAACTCACTGACCTATGAATTCCAGCTTCTACCAATTGGTGATTTTAGTACAAACTCCAACCAGTATCATCATTGTGTACTTGTCCTTACACCCAACCTGGTGGAACTCACTGGCCACGATTTCTTACTACAACTTCAGTCTACTTCAACTTGCTGCCACTCACCAGTGAGCATTGGATTAGTCTTTCTGAGTCAGTTTGTAGGGAATTCATTTATTGGAATTCTGATCACAGATTGATATCAGTTGAAATTCATTGACCCCTGAGTCGGAACCAGGTAAATTAATGGTCCACGAGCACGCCTTGTAATCAGACGGTACTGGGTTCGAAGTCCTAAAACCGAATAGTTTCTGGCTAGGACGAAAGAGCTGTCCAGTACTCCCTGGTTTTCAATGGTTCTCCAACTGATATTAGTCTGTGATCAACCTTCAGGCAAATAAAATCCTTACAGGGTAGGGGCCAAGAAAAATCTTCATACCGATTTGGTGCACTAGCGACTCAGCTGTAGGACTCTTGTAATGGAGCAGTAATTAAGAGACTGCTTGTTCGAACCCTGCGGTCAGGTTGGCAGTCTGCTTGAATTACTGGACTACCTGGGTTGATGTTCAACCTTATTTATCATATTTTCTCTAACTCTTATCACTTTTAGAATTCTGTATATTTCGTAGGCATTTTCTTCAGAATCAAGCTATTATTATTAATTACTGATGAAGAGTCCCAAATTGGGACGAAATAGCTGTCCAGTACTCCCAGTTTTCCAGTGGTTCTCTAACTGATGTCAGCTCATGATGAAATCCTCCATGCAACCAAACAAAAATCCCTACAAAACCAATACCTGAAAATTATTATGAATCAGTCATACCGCCAACAGTCAGCCAGTCGAAATCTATCTCAGATAGCCTCATAGATCAAAGGAAGACTTTTTATTTACTTATCATCCGTTTTAGAATTCGCATATTGAAACCACTGAACTTTAAGTATTACGTATTTCTAGCTCATTTTGAATAAATATCTCTATCATTCTGCCTAACTTTATTATATATATAGATTAGAAATATCAAGTTTTATTTAATTTGAGCAAAGGTTGATCCGTATAACTTTGTTTGACGATTGCGGATTGAATAAAATCAACATCAACAACAATAACAATATTCAGTTCTGAATTCTGCTATTTGGCGGTTCAGATAGTTCAAAATATTTGTACAGTAAGTTTATCAGTATATAAACTTTGATAGCATATGCTACTCACAAGCAGGTATAATGCGTGCTACATGGATTATCCTATGTAAGACTATTTTGTAAATTCAACATCATTTTTTAAACAAACCTCTGTGTTTCAATGAACAGGTGCAGTTATGGTGGATGCGACAGTACAGGTTTGTCTTTTATATATATTCCCATTTATAATATTAGAACAAGACATGTTAGCGAACAATATTGTTTTCAATTAGATCGTCTTCACGCTTTACTCTAATTTAAATAGATTTATATATAAAAAATATTTTAACCGATGACGGTGATTTTGTGGAACAAATAATAATAATGTGGTAAATGTTTTGAACATAGTTAATAACGATGATTATAATGATAACAAAATATTGATAATAAGGTTTATGCAGCTGATAAGAACAACAAAGGTAGTATATGTATATATGTAGACAATTCAATAAATAAATAATTTAGGTCAAATCTTAAAAGGTGAAGCGGAACGATAATCAGAGTTTAAATAAATATCACGGAGGAGATGGAAGATAAGAAAGGGTGGGAGGGTTTTGAATAGAATTCACCTAGGCCAGGCAAGGGAGAGACAAAGGTAGAACAAACTTCTTTTGTATGCGAAGACTAGGATTGTTCTCTCGAACTAATTCCCATTGCTTCGGCTATGTGTAAAACACGGGTTCTGATTCCATTCGAAAGGCTTGATGGAATGCGATATATAACTTTGAAGGCACAATTTCTGTCCACTTGGGGACCGCTATCAATCAAATGAACCAGAATAGAACTTCTTATAGATTTTATTTGACCTTTTCCGAACCATGAAGGAAGATGCTCATTAATGCGTTCTTTAAGCTGTCTAGTTGTTCGCCCTATATAGCTCTCTCCACTGGAGCAACTAAATTTATAGATACACCTAGAAGTGGCACAGCTAGGTCGCTTGTCTTTCATTTGAACAGTCATAATTGGTCGGCTGGAAAATGACAAACAAAGGGTGACGGCAGTATAAGTCCGTTTTATTGCTCTCGATAATCTCAGATGTAAGACTTCGTTAGCCACGTTGCCATTAAATTGCAGTTTCAAGAACAGTTGTTTCTTTTCAACTGTTGTCAGTTTCTCTTTATTGTACCTGGTGTTCATGTGTCTCCTTACAAATCTACTAGGATAACCCATTTGGACCAGCGTATTTTGGATGGATCCTAGCTCATCTGTACAGATTCGTCTTGCTCTATTCGTGAGGCATCTGACCAAATTGATTTTGTATCACCTGTATAAACCTTATTATCAATATTTTGTTATCACTATAATCATCGTTATTAATTTCGTTCAAAACATTTACCACATTATTATTAGTAGTAGTACTATGATAATTTGTTCCACGAAATCACCGCCATCGGTTAAAAATTTTTATATATAAGTCTATGTATATTAGAGTAAAGCGTGAAGAAGATCTAATTGAAAACAATATTGTTTGCTTATAAGTCTTGTTCTAATTATATATATATATATATCTACATTTTTCCACGATAAATTGCCCTCATAACTTTGGTTTTTCAACAGATCAACGGACTGCGTTATGTTTCACTGACTGAGATTTGATTACAATTAGATTTTACGAGTTGATCATGGACTGATATCAGTTAGAGAACCATTGAAAACCAGGGAGTACTGGACAGCTGCTGTTTCATCCTACTTTGGGAATCATTGGCAGTACGCACCCACTGGGATTCGAACCCGGGACCTTCCGGTTACAAGGCAAGCTGGCTCGTATACCATTCAGCCACTGGGACCCGATTCAATGGCTCATGAATTCTAACTTCTACCAATTCGTGATTTTAGCGCGACCCCAACTATTGTCGTTGGTGGAAATCCATCCACACGTGACTTATGCTCGCTAGTGACTTGCTACAGGTTGGAGCTTCCTGCAGTTCTAGTGAGAAGTCGTGACCAGTGAGGTCCAATTAGAAGTCACGTGTGTGGATGGATGTCCCACCAACGACAATAGTTGGGGTCGCGCTGAAATCACGAATTGGTAGAAGTCAGAATTCATGCACTGGCCATTGAATCGGGTCCCAGTGGCTGAATGGTATACGAGCTTGCCTTGTAACTGGTAGGTCCTGGGTTCGAATCCCAGTGGGTGCGTACTGCCAATGATTCCCAAAGTAGGATGAAACAGCAGCTGTCCAGTACTCCCTGGTTTTCAATGGTTCTCTGACTGATATCAGTCCATGATCAACTCGTAAAACATAACTAATCCTTACAAACCAAACTATACAATTAGATTGTTCTGTTAATCTCAGAAACTGTCTCTTCACTATATCGCTTTAAAAATCAAGTAGTTTTATACTTACTGATGACGTTTTGAGCACAATTGATTGCTGTTCATATCCTAACTTGATATGATTATGAGCAGCAATCAATTGTGCTCGAAACGTCATCGGTGAATATTACTGTATAACACTGTGTGATTTTAATCCATGATTGAATTATACTCTATCTACCACAGTGCTCAAGTTTTATCCTTATATCAAGTAGTTTGATAATTTGAAGCACTACTTCTCTGCAACTTATCTACTGATCAACCTCACTGACAGATCACTCACTCATCGTGACTAAAATCTATTCAACAGAAGTAGAGAGGATAAATCATTCAAACACTGTACTATGAAAAAAATAGAAAGGATAAAACCGATAACGTACAACTAGCTGCAGACATAAATTGTTCTAAGAATATTTTTGCAACACTTCAAAGTGAGCGCTAGAAAACACATCAAAAATCTCACTATAGTAAGACTCAGCTATCATCACATCAAGTGTAGACAGAGCTCGCGATTATTGTACTCATAAGAATCACTTTAATATTCGGTTTTTCATTCGTAATCGGCGTGTTTTCCAACTTTTTTTTATCAAAAAAGCGGAATAAATCATTGCACTTTTAAAAAATACTGGTTGTCATGATAGTTCTGAGAAATTATCTCAATTTAACAGAGTTTAAATTAACGCCAGTTGTTTAAGTTTTATTGGACCATTTAACTAATTGATTAATAGAGATTTGTAGCTCAGATGGATGATTTTGATTTGGTCGTATTCTCTGAGCTGGTTGACTTGGTTATGAAACCCCCATTGTCCTTCTAGACAAAATCGCTTCTGTGCAAGCTTTAATATAAAGTGAAATTGCTTCAGTTCTCCATGAACCATGTCACTGTATCTCCTGACGACCATTGTCGTGATTGGTTGTTAGTTTACATCTTTACTGGTCCATTTTATTGATTTGGAATTGGAATTTTCTTGTCATGCGATTTATTTTTTATTAGTTGATAAATTTGATCCATAGTAAGGTGTTTGTTGATCACTAAAGGTGTAAACTTCCTGGTTGGGGTCATCGGGACGGTAAAAACCAATGGCTGGAGATAGTTGGTGATATGGCTCAAAATCTTTCTCAATGGCGCAAATGAATCCACTCTCCAAAAAAACTATATTGTTCTTCGATATTACTATTCTTTTTGCCTCATATCTCTGTTAATTGTCTCTATTTTGCATTTCTTTCTACTTTCTTCTTCTGTGGCTTTGTGTGCTGAGTGAAGTGTGGCGACTCGAACTGCTTCACGTCGGTTCAAAGTTCTATGTTGAAACCAGTTAGTCAGTCAGTCAGTAATCACTGATTCCTTTGAGTACCAGGCTTCTGGAAACTCCCTGGCATTTTTGTGTTTCCTCTGTTTAAATTCCTACATTCTCTGAATCAAACTGACGTCCATAATTGTCTGTACGCATTGACATGAAAGAATATACATCGCATCTTTTCACAGCTAATATATGTTCTTGGGTTCTGAGGTTCAAAGAGGCCGACCAATTTGACCAATGTAGTGTTTATCGTAGTTCATTTTGTAAATAGTATTCATCTTGTCTTCTTTTTCTGTTGCATCCTTTGGTCTTCACACTACTGAATGAAGTGATTCTATTGGCTTTTGTGCTATGTCTTCTTCAAATGGTCTTAATAATTTGGCCGGTATTTCAGAGATATTCTGTATATATATGGTAGAATGAATTTTCTTGTGGTGTTTTGAATATGGTTTCTTGTTGGTATTTCGATTGGAGTTTGAACATTTTTCGATAAAATTATATGGGTATTCACTCACCTTGGAGACAGTTAGTAGATATTTCTCTTCTACTGTCTTCAGGACGGGAGTGGACTACAGTGTGTTTGAAATCTCTCAAACACTGTTTGCACACAGTTTCTTTTGTGAGTCATTCGTTTTTTGGTATTATAGTTGAGTATTTCATCTGAGAGTGTTGATTTTCTGCATACTTATGTTTCCAAATTTTTGGTGTTTGTTCTTATTGATTAAGAAATCTAAGAATGGAATTTTGTTGTCTGATTCTTCTTCTCTTGTGAATTTAATGTCCTTAGGTATGTTGTTGATTAATTTGTGGGTGTATTCCAAATTATTTCTTTTAGTTATAACGAGTGTATCACCAACATAATGTACCAAGATGCTTAGTTTGATTATTGGCAAGGCTATTAGTCCTAATCTTTGCAAAACGATTTCAGACGTTAGTGCTGATATAGGCTATCCCATTGATGCTCCTTTTATGTGTTCGTATACTTGATTATTGAATTGGAAGTATGTTGTAAGACATAATTCGATAAGTTCCATCCAAGTTGAACGTTAAGTTTTTGCGTGTTCATCGTTATAGAGTTGTTATTGAATAGTTTCTTTTGCTGCGTTTTCCTAAATGAAAAATGCAAAGTTTAGTATTTGATTTTTACTGAAATAAATTTATACCATTTTAGAAGTGTGACCATGGATTGATATCAGTTAGAGAACCATTGAAAACCAGCACTGGAGTACTGGACAGCTGTTTCATCCTAGATTGGGAATCCTCGGTAGTACTCACCCACCAACAGGGTTTGAACCCAGGATCTTCCGGTTACAAGGAAAGCTCGTATACCATTCATCCACTGAGATATGACTCAGTGGCCAGCCCGTGAATTCTACCAATTCGTGATTTAGCGCGACCACCAACCAATATCATCGGTGGGAAATCCATCCTCACACTTGACTGGATGAACCTCACTGGTCACGACTTCTCACTAGAACTCCAGGAAACTCCGTCCTGTAGCAAGTCACTAGTGAGCCATTTTCTTTTAACTGTTAATATTTAAAATGTGTAGAGTAACGCCACCAGACAGTCAACAGATTAAGTGGTTCTTTTAAATGTTCCAGTTTCTGAACAATCAATAATACTTTGCTGGACTGTGTAGTTCAAGAATTGATTTTGGATGTTAAATCATAGGCGTGAAAGACTTTGACAATGCAGCATATCACTAAGAATCAGTGTCTAAATAGACCGCAATTAAAGCGTGGTATTTTTTTATTTCTTTGCATTCCGAGTAGAACATTTAGTTCCAAACTTTGGGTTTCGAAGTTCGTTGGTCGGATCGCTAGCTTCATGTCCAGGCTTCCCTCTTACCATGGCGAGATTTATAAGTGCATCGGTGGGAAATTGAATCTGAACCACTTACGTGATTGGTCAGCATTCTATCAGCCAACCATCGATGCTATAGATGCTGACGCAACAGATTAATTTATTGTTAACAGTAGAGTGGATATTATTGGTCCCTTTTTTCTTTTTCCTTTACAACCCTGGCGGATCATAGGGCTTCAAGCTGAAGCTTTGAAGTTTTGGTAGCAGTGGTATTTATTTTTACGCGATGGGGTTGCTGGCTGCCTCATGCTCAACCTTCCATTTTTACCGGTATTGTTATCGGCTTAGTGAGGTAAAGGAGTGCGTCGGCTAGGGATAGAACCCCGGACCATATGCGTGGTTGGCAAGCATTCTACCACTAAGCTAACGATGCACTTTATTAGTCCCTGCTGGTCATTTACATCTCAGTCTGTATATTTACCTGCTGATAATTGTATACTTGAATCTATGAAGAGCAATTAAAAATTCAGCCCAACTGATCATTGAAAAAAAGGTGAATGCTTAGCCATTACCATCCTTATATGATTTCTCTGAAATCAATAATCTCGTCGTCAGCAAAGCATTTTTCAACTTAAATAACACTAAGATGATCATCCTGAGGTGTCATTACTGTCCAAATGCTTGGAACTTCACCTTTTCACTATAAATCAGTTCAGTGATGCAATTCTGACGAATGAACATTGAAACATTATTTTCCAGACTTTTAACACAAAATGACTTGACTTTAGTACACAGTTCCCCTGATCTCTGAGAAATTACTAAGAGAATAGTACAGTTTTAATAATTCATTGGACTCAACGCGTTTCTCTTCTTGTAGCATCAAACTAGTCATATATGAACTGTCTTGTACTATATTCAACCATTTTAGACAAATGTTCGATAATCACTTTATGCATTAATTACATAATGACTATGTATGAAATGATATATTATCATAATATTCTACTTAATTTTTTAGCTGGGTCTTAACAGGAGGAAATTGGGTGAGTATCGTTCATTTGAGACTGTTTTGATTTGTTTTCACGAGTTTGACCACGGATTGATATCAGTTAGAGAACCATTGAAAACCAGCACTGGAGTACTGGACAGCTGTTTCATCCTAGTTTGGGAATCATCATCAGCACTCACTCACTAACAGTGTTCGAACCCAGGTCCTTCCGGCTACAAGGAAAGTTCGTATAACATTCAGCCACTGGGACTCGATTCACTGGTCAGCCCGTGAATTCTAACTTCTACCAATTCGTGATCTGTTTTAGAGCGATCACCAACCAATATCATCGGTGGGAAATCCATCCTCACACTTGACTGGTTGGATCTCACTGGTCACGAATTCTCACTAGAACTCCAGGAAACTCCGTCCTGTAGCAAGTCATTAGTGAGCATCAGATTAATTTTCAAGACTGTTTTGATTGGTGATAAGACTGTTTGGGACAGACTTGTTTGTCCGACTCCGATTGACGTCATGAGTGACGATCGAAGGTAAGGTGAAAATCTAGTTGACCAGAGTATTCGATTCTAGCCATCGACCTCTAAATAACTAGCTCAGTGTCCCATCAGCTAGGACACGCTAGAGATGTTTACACATAAATTGAGGAATATGATGATGGTGGCAATGAGAAAGGAGGTTATTACTTGGCCTTGGTCTAAATGCACTCAAGAAAATTGACTTTTGACTAAGTTTTCCCCATGCTTTCCAGTTATCATTCTTGTAATTTTTAATCATCGCGCTAATTCTAATAGATTACTTGTCTATCAAGGTAGATCAGGAGTAAATTCGAAAAAAACCAAAACAATTGTTTTACACTTCTTATAAATTTATCACGTCACAGGAATAACTCATGGTTTAGTTATCACGAGGTTTTTCTATATTATCATTAAGAATAACTAATTACTTCTCTCTTTTAAATAATCTGTTGATATTTCTACCTCAGATGATTCAATAGGAGCATATTAGCGAATAATTCACTTCGAAATTTCGGCTCATTATGCTGTAGTTGAAATAACTAGATGGTATAAAGTGCTTTCACACAAGAACAGCAATTCATACCGTTATTCATGAGTCAATACATTAGGATATAGAGGGCTTCAGAAGTGCACCTCCATTCCATTCAGTCATCTGCTATCCTTGTCAGCTGGCTGAACGACTGCTGACATGCTTTCATTTCCTCGGATGTCTAACATGTTGCTTCCTATTCAGCTTTTACTCCAGGACCTGTTATACTACGTCACTTGAAGGTTTCATTGAAGTATTTCCGGGAGTTAACCTCACACCTAATCCTAGCTCTCTAAGGACAAATTACCCTGACAGTCGGTAATTAGGAGGCATTGACCTTTGAAAACGACGATCGACTGGCGTCAGTGACCTTGTCTTTGCATTCTGTCATTCCTATTGCATCATAGTATGCTAATCAATAAAAAAACTGTTTCTGGGACTTACGTATTTTTCTGTGTTTTTAACAGAGGCAGTTAACTATTCAAGGTTTGATTTAAAGGTGAGCATTTTCCTTGATTCAGATAGTGGAACCATTAATAGCACCAGGGGGAAAATTAAATATGAGAATTAGACGCACAATCAAATTACATTCAGTTCATTCATTAATTCTCTGTACAATTCACATATGAATTTGTTCCAGTCTACTCCGCGTTGCCTAATTTACTTTAAATATATTTTGTAATTGATCCGTTTTCGCCTAAACTTATTTATAAGTTAAGTCAGTAGCCGGTGACAGCCAGAGATTCATTGAGAAGCAGGAAGTACTGGACAACTTTCTCCTTCTATTTTGAGACTATTTAGCAGCACACAACTACTACCGCTCAAACTCAGGATATTACGGTCACAAAGCGAGCTAATAGACCATTCAGCAGCGAGAGATTCGATCTAATCGCCCATGAATTCAAACTTTGACCAACTCGTGATAAATATAGCACAACCACCACCCAATGCTAGAGGCGAGAAAGTATTTTCTTACCTCAACTGGTGGACCTCACTGGCCAACGGCTTCTCACTAGAACTCCAGGTAATTTCCTGTATAAAGCCAGTTGCTAATGAGCATCAGATTAGTTATACTTGCATCTATCAATTACTAACTTATTCAGATTTTCAGTTTTCTAGGAATTTTGATTAACTGAAGTGTGGATTCCTTCAGTGCTGTTCAGTTGTAAATGCTTCTCTAACTGATATCGGTTAGAGACGTCTTCTGCACAGATATTAAGTAACTCATTCTTACTTTTATTTTACAGATTTTGAGAATCAGGAAGAATCACTTCAGCAAAAGATGCTGATTAATGAGACGAATGAACTATTTCAAAGGGAGAAATACGTACAACTTCCTTCAAAACCGGATGTAAATAAGGTAGGTCTCGTTTCGTTTTCGGCTTTTTGGGCTAAAATTCTTAGGGTTTTCTAGTCTTCGTTATACTGTACCCCTCATTTATACTACCTGTTTCTGAATATGATTGGAGAGCACTGACATCCCTTAGTAGTGGTTCATAGTCATAGTGAAGTGATCATACGCGTAGGTAACTTTCTAGCCCCTCTGTAGCCTCTGACTACACTATACCATTCACTGAATCTCTTCAGGAAGTATCAGATACTGTCACAGATCTTAGTACCAAAAATTCTTCACTGCAATCTCTATCTGCCTAGTCAGTTTGTGTCAAGAACAAGGCTTGATCAAAAAACGTTTCTAGCCATCTAGAACGATTATTAAAGCTAATTGTCAAAGCAATTACTGTCTCATTCATGTAGGAGGATAAAACTGGAATTTCGGGTTGAAAGTAAATTCTGTGATCTGAATGAGGGGGTTTCAACGATGATTTACATTACCTTATACGATTTCTGCTTGATATATATTCAAGGTTTGCACGGTGATTTATCACAGTCTTGTTATCATTATTTCATTTTATTCCTTTGCGTACCCTTTGGAACATAGGGCTTCAGGCTTAAGCCTTGAAGTTTCAGTAGGAGTGGCAATTATTTTTACTGGGTGAGATTGCTAGTCTCACGCCCAACCTTCCCTCTTTGGCTGGCTTTTTACCAGCTAAGCGACGTAAAGGAGTGCGTCGGCCGGGGATCGAACTTCGGACCACCTGAGTGGCTGGTGAACATTATACCTATGCACCACCGACGCACCATCACAGTCTTACAGACACAGGTATAGCTTTAAATATTATAGGAGCATTTGATCACTAGCAATGCGGGGTATCCAAGACGTCATTCCAAGCTATCACCGTGTCAGCTGAATATGCCACCGTTGCTTAGATGATATCTAAGTAACACTACAGTTTAAACTTAAAAAATACATATTTGGAAGCTATTAAATTAACTGCGAAAATGGAACTTTCAGATATTAATGCACGACTGATATTCCGCACTAGGAACCACACTTGAATTTCCTTTACTTATTTCAAGACAGGAACTTGGCGCGTATATCAACGAAAGCATTTCCAACTGTCTAGAGACTTTCATCCATAGCTGCCTTCACTGACTAAGTACTAAAGGTTAAATGACCTGCCTGAAAGGCATAAGTAACAAGAAACTCTGGCAACTAGAGACCCGATCAAGAATATGTTTTCCAGCAAACATATAGAATGAAATGGATTGGGCAGACTCTCAGGAGACCTACAAGCGATAGAACACCTATAAAAATAGAACTTGTACACTGCGGTAGAGTATAATTCCATTGTGGGTAAAATTTATTTTGATGAATTCTCGTAGTAATATTTGCTGATGACGTTTTGAGCACAACTTATTGCTCATAATCATATCAAGGTACTCCCACAACTTTATGACTTCGTTTATATATATATATATATGATACCTCACCTAGGCAGGCTCTCGAGTTGTAGGTAAACGGGAACGATGAGTTAGACGTCTGAGGGTGATATGAATGGGATCATCTCAAGAGGAAATGAAAGCTTTCGGATAGTTATGGAGCCAGCTTTAAAAGACAGTAAGGAACAGAGTGAAATGAAGATGGACTATTGAAGTCCTCTATTAGACTTCAAATCCAAAGGATATATAATAATAATGTTCAACTGATTAATTATTCTGCGAATATCTTTCAAGAGATAGGAAAATTTCTCCTCATATATAATAATAGCTTTATTGTGCACTATAAGTTTACACAGTATGCCTAATTTTCAGGGTAGTTTATGGCATAGTATTTTCTCTTCATCCAGGAGTTTCAAGTAAAACAGCCATCTCCAGTATATCATGTGACGCGGAAGTGTTACATCTGAAAAATGAAATAATCCTTTATGCTATTTCTCTTTGGTCCTCCAGAATTGAGCAACAGTAGGGTTGCGAACCAATTAAAAATGTGTATGAGTACATTTGGCGACCTACGGATATAACTGAATGATCATAACAGCGAGAACTAAAAAAAAAAGATACATTATCTCGGAGTGATATTAAGGCAGCCCAGTGATTCAAACAGGCCGCCAGATCCAGATGATCAAATGATACTTAAAGTAGGTTGAGTGCCATTCGAATTCGGACCTGTTAGTCAACGTTCAGGTGAGTAGTTAAACTCTTTCGACACATCAACTATGAATATTGCAAAGTAATCCGGCTTACCATACATAACTCACATTTGAGCATCGGTTAACAGGTGGCGGAACTCTGCGCTCAGTGAAATAATGAAAAAACAAACCGTACCATCTTAAAATACAAAAAAAGGAGGAGATGAGGTGAACAAACTGTCGGGAGATTTACCTGCACCGCTGTACTCTGTTGTGCGCCTTGACTCTTTAATCGCTCATTAATTTAGCATAAATGTCTTCAATTCGCCAACAAACATCACTAAAAATATCTTATCACCTACATAAAAATAGAAATCATGATCATATGATATGATAATGAGCAGTAAATTGTGCTCGAAACGTCATCAGTAGGTGATGACGTATCACTGTGTGCTTTAATTGCATAAATGTATTCTATGTTGCTTTTATTATTATTGTTATTTTATCTTTTCATTCCTTCGCCTTCAGAGTGAAACTCAGAGCTTCAGGCTTTAAAGTTTTAGTAGCAGTGGTACAGATTTATTAAGTGGGAGGGGGGATTGCTAGCCTCACGCTCAACCTTCCCTGTAGGATTCTGTCGGCAGGGAATAGAATCCAGGCCCTCCATGCATGGCTGGAGGACATCTTACCCCTGAACTGTCGACTCATGATGTTGCTATATTTCACACTTTTAATTTCCCATTCACCTTATTGTGAAGTGAAAGATTAGACACTTTCGGAATGCATAATTTGTGGAACAGGTGGATCGGTCGATAAGTTGATCCAGTAAACGCGCTTCATATAATTTCGTTGCTTTAACATACATGATACATATGATTTTATTATTATAGTATTATTTCCTTGGGTTCCAAGTGGAACATAGGGCTTCAGCAACGAGTCTTCACCTTCTTCTATTTTCTACCATCCTCTTCAGATGGGTCCACGATTGCCTATACTCTCTCATCTCCTCCTACTCAAACGACCTATTGCTTGTCACCCTCGCACCAACAACCCACTCGTCGCTTCTCATTAGGATTCCACTCGAGCAATGGCCTGCATTGCGCGCGATGTCATTCGACGGTCTCCTCAGTGTGTGCCCAATCCATCTCTATTTTCTCCTACATATTTGTTGAGCACTTGGCTCCTGATTGGTTCGTCGCCAGCCAGAGTTTCTTGTTACTGATTCTCTCTGGCTATTTGATCTTCAGTATGGAGTCAGCGAAGTGGGCAGTTGTTGATAAAAGTCTGCAGTGGCCTGTTGTAAATCCTTTTCATGACGCGTATAGAAGGACTGACTTGACATTTGTGTTCAAAATGCGAATCTTGTTGTTCATGCTGGCTGAATGCAGAAGATTTCCAAACTGGTTTCAGGTTGATGAAGACAGCTTGGAAGGCAGTCCTAAATCGCTTTTTTTTCACTTATGCTAATCAGTTACAGCTACTTCGTGTGCAACACTGCTAAGTTATGAGGGAAGTAAATAAACTGTGTTTAAGTAAACATGTAATAAGATTGAAGGTTGATGAGAAAGGGATTAAAAATTGCAAATATCATAAATAAGGGGGTGGGGTGAGGATACTGTCAGTTGGTTAGGTCTTGAATGGCCAAAGGAGGGAAAATGGCTGTACAAAACTTTTTGAATACATAGTTTTGGCTTCATAATTCGAATGCCAATCGCCTCAGTTATGTGCAGTAGATGAATACGGAGTCCATTGGAAAGATTTGGTAGGATGTAATGATTCACCTTGAATACTTTTGTTTTTTCCGCTAAATGGTAACTACCAAATAAATGTGACAAAACAGAGCTTCGGTTGGCCTTTGTCTGTGTTTTACCAAACCACGATAGGAAATATCCAGTGACGCGTTGGCTAGGCTGTCTAGTAGTACGCCCAACATTACCGTCCGCATAGCAGCAGGTGCATTGGCAAATACACATAGATGTGGCAAAACTAGCTAGCTTATCCTTCTTCTGAGTCCAAATCATTTACCGACTAGAAAGTGAGAAAGGTGGGTTTGCTATGTAAAATGTTCTCCATATACTTTTGGCTAGTCTCTGGAGTGAAATCCCACTTGACAAGTCCTCATTAAATCGTAACTTGTCGCCATCATCTCAGGTTTTCTGTCCAGTGTTTTCATATGTCTATTTATAAAACTACTCAGATAGTCCATCTCCGTCAAGGAATCATGAATCTTTCTTGCTGTCTCCATAAGAAACACATACCTAATTATAGCAATGGTGCTTTTAAATAACGAATGACACAATGCTATATAAAAGTATGAGTAACAAAGCACCAGGCAATCAATATCTAGGATTTAGAACATGCCAGAAAAAATAAGATTTAACTTTCTCTCAATACTGCTCATTTAACGAAACAAAACTCTTCAAAAGTCTTATTACGTCTGACAAGAAAATCTTAGGTTTTATTATTTCTTTTTGAAACCAAGGGTATACATTTTAAATATTCACGTATCCAAATATACTCTTTGATTGATTTTGTCACTGAATTGGCATTATTTTACGTTTACGTTGAAAAAATTTGTTACGTTGACAGAATGTATATCTTTTATGTGCTCATATGGTTTTATTTATAGCTGCAAATATAATTGTTACAATATGACTAAACGTTTTTTTTACAATATTTGCCATTGTTTAATTGTAGAAATAGAAGATAAGTTATCGAATTAACTGAGCAAATAGTGAAACATGATATCTTCTCTTAGCTGATTTGTAAATTGGCTATCTGACACATATGTGGAACTGGGTTGTCATTACGCAGAGCTTCAACTATACTCCTCCATTTCACCTTGTATCAAGCAGTCCTCTCACGCTGGCTCCCCCCCATTGACCATACGGTCTCATCTCCTCCTTACACAATCTCCTGTATATCACCCAACTTGTCATTTCCCATTCGGGTCCCACTCGAGCGATGGTCTGGCGCGTGATGCCACCTAATGGTCTTCTCAGCATGTGTCTAATCCACCTCCATTTTACTTCAGGATTTTTCCAGGTGATAGTTTCTTGATTCGTGTGTTGCCAGATTTCATTGTTGTTGTTGTTCAACCGTTTCCAGTCATCTGATCTTCATTATGAGGCGAAGGCATTTGTTGCAGCAGGCTGTCTGAAATGCTTTTGGTAACGCGCGGAGTGTCTGAACTATATGTAATAGCTGATGCTACATGAGTGTGCTTGGTGCAGTAGATTCCCAGACGGATTTAAGAGATCAATAAATGTTTTTTTGAGTAACCAGGATTGAATTATCCGATAAACATTCATTCTTCAATGTAAGAATTTACAAATGCTGGTTTGTAGGAACTGAACTGATTTCAAGATAGGCTATGAAATGAAATCAGTGAGAGAACTATTGGGAACCAGGGGGAGTACAGGAAAGTGCTGTTTTGTTCTAGTATGTGTCCATGATCCAAATGGTGATCAAATTCATGACTTTTAGATAATGAGGCAAGCTTGATGACAGTTCAGCCACTGGGACAAAGTCCACTGATCCAATGCACCTATTAATAATATATTATATCTGAATGGGTATCTGGTAGGCAGTCATATGTGATTAACTTAGCAGATGAACTGATATCCAACTGAAATCCAACATAGTTCACAAGTTTTATTTATTTATTTTTTATTTTGATTTACAGCTTGATTCCACGCCGTATTATTAGTACAAGTGTGGAATTTTCAGCATGGATATCGGTAGCCCAAATTCAGGCCGACCATAGATATCGGGTGTGCGCCGGCAGGAGATCGAATCCCGGACCATGTGCATGGTCGGCGAGAGTCCTAACCACTGTGCCACCGACGCACAAGTTCCACTTTTATATCAGTAAAATATTGAGGCTATCTGCATTCTATTTGTCAATATTTTCTTATGTAATTTGAATATTTTAATTCATTATAAATACCTATTAAAGACGGATTAGTGAACAAAGAATATTTTCCTCGATAAATTCGTCATCAGGTTCTGCAGCTTTATGGCTAGGAAACACCTACCAATGTGGTTACATGAAGGTATAGTTAAAACCATCAACAGTTCTGTTTTGGATTACCTTGTCCGAACAGGCTACAAAGCTAGTGTTAAAGAAACTTCTTTTATCATCTGTCGGATATCGATTTCATTACCAGAGGTCCCTAGATGCCACCTCGATTCGCTTAAATCAACCAGAGCTCTGTGTGCAAAAGAAACTTGTCGAGACACTGTTGCTACCCTGACACGCTGTCGAACCTATAAATTCACAAATTCTGTGTTACTTCCCTTAATTTATCTGATAGTTTGTTGAATGTTATATTAACGCAGAATACCTCTCTCTTACTGATACTTCTGAAAGGTTATCTATCGATAACAATGATTATTTAAAAGTTTGGTTTGTCAGGATTAGATTTGTTCATACGAGTTTGACTACGGATTGATATCAGTTAGAGAATCACTGAAAACCAGCCACAGGGAGTACTGGAAATCTGTTTCATCCTAATTTTATGGGAATCATCGGCAGTACGCACCCACTGAGGTGGTCGTGCTAAATCACGAACTGATAGAAGTTAGAATTCATGGGCTGGTCATCGAGTCAGTGGCTGAATGGTATATGAGCTTTCCTTGTAATCGGAAGGCCCTGGGTTCGAACCCTGATGGTGGGTGCGTACTGCCGATGATTCCCATAAAACTAGGATGAAACACCTGTCCAGTACTCCCTGTGGCTGGTTTTCAATGGTTCTCTAACTGATATCAATTCGTCGTTAAACTCGTATAAATGATTATTTAATTATTATTGTCATATGTTTGTAGAACGTGATGATGATTTTACCCAGAAGAATATTCTTTGTTCTTTAATCAGTCTTTTGATTTGAATATTTCCATAATTTATTCCAAATAAGAATAATTACAGAGAATAGCTGTTTTCAACGAATTCTTCTTCAGCTCCTATAATTTTAAATCCATTAATTTTAGCATACAGTTAACCAGAAAAGGTAAATTAGCATTGTACCAAAAAAGTGCATTAAGATACAAGTACAAGATGAAATTGTGACGAGTGCTACTGATAAGATTTATCAGTAGTATGTGTGTGAAGAGATGTTCATCACATCACACATCAACACATCAAATAGCAGGGAGATAGATAGATTTGATGTCAGAGAAGGCAAATGATACAGCGTTGAGGAGATACATGGAAGACAACGTGAAAGGAACACAATGAAACAAAATATTAAGGAAGTCTAGAAGTAGCACAACATGGAAGATCGGTGCAAATGGTGTGTTGAAGATGAGGTGTACATAATTTCCCTATATAAAGATACGAATATCCAGAAAACATTCCTTTACCAAGTCTAGCGTCTTCTATCGTTTCAGAATGATATTTGTATTGAAATTTCATTCCAATCATCTACTTTACAACGCATTACAATTTCTCATCTCATTTTAAACTAATCAATTTTATTTTGCCTATTTTATTTGCCAGGAATATGTCGACGGTAAGTAAGTTTGACGAGAAATTTTATTAAAAGTATAAGACATAAATTAAAAGTCAATCTGAACGAAGAATATTCTTCTCAATAATTTCCCCTCTTCACGTTCTTACAATTATAAAATATAATGCATTTGTTGTCGTTACAATAATGATGGCCAGTTATTTATGCGGCGGATACATTTTTTACGTAGAATAACAGAATAATAGTTATGGGGTGTCAAAATAAATAGTCGTATTTGTGTGACAGACGTCGTGCTAGGCTGAAATCGATTACAAAATATTGTTAAATGGGAGACAATGGTTCAAGTTATATAGGGTGCACAATTAGCCAGGTTCGTCTACGGGTTCGAGAACATTTACCAGCTTGGTTCAGCAGGAGGGAAATTAAGTGCATAAAAAGCTCGATCCTGTTACATTTGGTCGATACTGGATATCGCATCGACGTCAACACAGCTTTCAGGGTTATATACCGAATTCCGAAGTCGTTATCACGTACAGTTCGCTTACTTCTGCTACACATAGCTGAAGCTGTTGCAATAAGATCGACTAGACCGGAACTTTGTATCCTAAAAAGAACACTTCAGACGCTGTTCCTACCGTGGCTAAACTTGGATTGATGATTCTTCTTCTCAGCAAGAGTGATTCTTCCCTATAACCTCTCATTGCAGTCTTACTATCTACTCTTTAATACATACCATTTTGTACTAACCAGTAACTCATTTGACACCTTCTCTAACACTGAAGTGACTTGTCAATTTTCCTACCCCACACTATACAAATCGATTATGACTAATCACCGCCATTGTCTCCCATTTAACAATATTTTGTAATCGATTTCAGTCTAGCACGTCTGTCACACAAATATGACTATTTATTCTGACACCACATAGCTATTATTCTGTTATTCTACGCAAAAAATGTATCCGCCGCATAACTAACTGGCCATCATTATTGTCACGACAACAAATGCATTATATTTTATAATTGTAAGAACTTGAGGAGGGGGAAATTATTGAGAGGAATATTCTTCGTTCAGATTGACTTTTAATTCATGATATGGGAATATTTTACACTATTAAATCTAATAACACATAACTCTGATGACATGATCAACTTCTCTAATTATCTGTCTGATTTAGTTTGTAGTGGATGTACTGCAGCTGTGTTTTCCTTGAAAATGATTCTACATCTTGAAACGGTGGTGTATTATGTCAATGTAATAATTGATCAGTTGTGTGTATTTGTTGGACCCTATTCATCTGAAGTAAGTTAAGCATCTGTGACTAAAGGTTTTAAACGTGAATATTTAAAAATAACAGTTCTATGTACGTAGGTGATCTGAGTTATAGATTGTATTTAACGATGTAGTGTTGTATATAGCATAGTTCCAAGGGATCTTTTGTTGTTGGTTTGTAAGGATTTGATTGGCTACAGGATTTCATCATTAGCTGATATCTGTTAGAGAATCCTTAGAAAATCTGGGAGTATTTGGACAGCTGTTTCGTCCTAGTTTGAGATCAACTCTTCAAAGGTAGGCACACACCGGGGTTCGAACCCAGGACCTTTCGGTTACAAGGCGAGCTCGCATAACATTAAGTCACTGGGACCCGATCCAATGGCCAGCCCATGAATTCTAACTTCTGCCAATTCACGACATAGCGCGACCCCCTAGCCAATGTCTTCGGCCAGTATTTTTCCTCACACCCGACCTGCTGCACCATACTAGTCATGACTTCTCACTTGCAAGGGATCTTTTTTGAAAATCCAGATTTTAGTTCATTGAACTGAGTTGGTGAGCCTCTATTGGTATATGGGATCTATGTGTGAACTCCCCAGTATCATACTTAGTGACACTATCAGTATAAATTTAATAATTCAAGTTTATCAAATATCCCCATTGGAAAATTATTAGAGAGAAGACCGGTTATTCAGCGTAGAGTCTCTTTTCGCCGAATTCATTTTCACAGCTGGACAATTGCAAATATATATGTAGTTATTTTGTATGTGTGTGTGCATTAAATTTGTCAAACGAAAATACAGTTAGTAAGCTTTTGATGAAGTTACGTAATAAAAAACGTATTCAGAGGAATTGGATGATGATATAAGTGTAATAACAAAAGTGATGAGTTGTCACAAACGATTGTTAAAGAAGAGTTATGTAATAGAATGAATAGTTTGATGGAAGGGTTGTGTTCAGGGTGTGCATTGAAACAAAATAAAATACGGAATTACTTAATAATTTTAAAGGAATACAAGAGTTTTAAGTAGCTAGAAATAACAAGCAAACGAGCGGAAGTAATTTGGAAACAACTTCAACACTACGGCGTACCTCAATTCCTTACCATCCTTGACCATCTCACGCGTCAGGTGATCCAAAACGGAAAACTCAGCGAGGTGTTTGAAGTCAATACAGGCGTAAGGCAAGCTGGCTGTCTATTATCACCGATTATATTCTTGATTGCAGTGGACTGGATTACGTGTCAGATTGTGGGGAGCGAGGATACAGGAATACACTGGATCACCAATAAGAAGACTCTAGAAGATCTGGATTTCGCTCGTGGATGATCTTTGTTTAATGTCAAGCAAACTCGAACACTTACAGGCAGGCGAAAGCAACAAACTGGCAGAAGTGGCTGGTAGATAGTGAAGACAGGACTTCATGTGAACATAGAGAATACTGAGGTGATGAAGATAACCAATCCTTAATAACAGCAACAGCAACATTAACCAGCACCGATCAGTGTCAACGGGAGAGATCTAACAGAGGTTACCTCCCTCGCTTATCTAGGAAGGATGGTTACAACTAACGGTGGAAACCATGGATGAAGATATAAAACGTCAGAATCGGAAAGGCGAGATACGCCTTCAAAAACCTGAAACCAGTTTGGAAATCTTCTGCACTCACTCAGCCAGCATAAACAGCAAGATTCGGATTTTCAACACAAATGTGAAGTCCTATACAGGTCAGAAACTTGCAGTGAGTGTCATGAAAAGGATTCCCAGCAAGTTGCAGACCTCATCAACAGCTGCTTGCCTTCACTGGCTCCAAACTGAAGATCAAATGGCAGGCCAGAAAGAATAAGTCACAAGAAACTGTGGGAACAAACCAGAAAGCAAGAGCCGATCGCTGAACAAATATGTAGGAGAAAATGGAGATAGATCGGGCGCACTTCACTGAGCAAGTCGTCGAATGAAATAGCGCTCAGTGTAAGCCGTTGCTCAAGTGGAATCCGAGTGGAAAACGAAGAGTGGGTCGTCGGTGCGAGAGCGACATGGAGGAGATTGTGTGGTGAGGGGGAGACGACAGATTATGTGCAGTCGTTGACTCAACCGGCTGTAGAGGATAGTGGAAAATAGAAGAAAGTAGAGATGTGTTGTTGAAGCCCTATGTTCCACTCGGAACTCAAGGGAATAATAATATTGTGAAATAATACAGAATGCTACCTGTTCAAGCAAGCAAATACGTACTTTTGGTAATTTCTTGTTAGTCTTTACAATTAAATATAATGAAATATCTGTCATAGAGATTTGAAAAACAGTACGGATCAATAGAATCAAATGTATTTCAAGCAGAATGTAAGTAGAATAACAAAAATAAATTGTGAAACTACGATTAAGACATGCAACTGTTGTACAGCATGATACTGATAATGAAGTTAGCAGTACAAATGAAAATAAGATAAAAATAACTTTTATAGTTATTCCATTTAGCCGTGGACTGAAGGCCATCAAAGTGAGAGGGATTGAACAAATATTCTCTGAACACAGAGAGATTGGGTTGAAAAGTGTGTTACGGTAACCACCTCAGTTATGCTACTCAATCGAAGTAGTATAAACTTAGGGAATTGAGGAGGCACCTTGTATAGAATTATAAAGACTGAATCTTTATCAGTCGTGTGCTCTATATCCACAAAGTGTGCCGATTTCGAACTCCTGATTGACTTTACGACTGCCTTACCTAACCACGTTAAACAGTGCTTTTTATTATGGTAAAGATAACCTCTCATTCACAGAAGGTATGATTTAGTTAGCATAAAACTCATCAAATCATCAGACAGCAAGTAGTTCTATTCAGTGTTTTTTTCAAAGGTTAGCAGTGTTGATAATGTAATTCTCAGCAATAAGTTCATTCCTAATTTTAAAGTATTCAATGATCAATGATTTCAATAGGCTTAGAAGTTCCGAATACAGTAAAACAAACTGAATAAAGTTATTTTAATCATTTTAAAACAAGATACAACATTTTTAAAAAATCACATTAAATTATTTTTATTTTCAGTGTACATTTGTTGCTCAACACTATGCTAGTATGTTGATAGATTTGCTTGAAAATTCGACAGCTCCTCGAATTTGTCACGTGAGCAAACATTTTGTACTTCAACATGACTTTATATTCATTCATTTATGTAAAGTATTTTGATGTGGTTGTGTTGTACATTGAATTTCTGTTTCACCTAGTTTAATGGTAAAACAGCTGGGTCATTCAACAGGCGTTAAACAAGTATGATGGTAAAATATTTTTTTTCATATCATTAAGCACTCGGTCAGTACTGAAATACCTTTGTGGACTTTCTACGTGCTTTTACGACTGAAAATGGTATTTCAAGTAATACAGAAGATTTGTAGCCCAGGTGGATGATTTTGATCTAGTTGTGTTGTCTAAGCTGGTTGATTTAATTGCGAAGCTTTCGTAGGTAATATCTTCAGAGCATGCTTTATGATAAAGAGGTGTGAGATAGCTACAGCTTACCAAGACGACCAAAGAACAAAACCTGAGCTTGATGATATTAGATAGTTGGAGGCAATCGGCAGGAAATCCAGTCTTGGACCTAGGTGTCGTGCTAGTTGTCATTCACCATTCAGCAAGGCGTACTGCTAACTTGAAGAAACTCATGTCTCTTCTGAGATTCAAACCCGCGTCACCTAGTGCTGCGGTCAGAGACGTTACCACTGAGCGATTAAACTCCTATAGGACTGCAGTGGATACTTTGACTGGACACTAGTAACTAGTGTGATGTGCACCGTGATGGCGAGCTACCTAGAATGGTGGCCACATTGCAAACCTGTCTGACAGAATTCATTCTGCACCAAAGAAAGGACTAGACACGTCACACTAGTTTATAGTGTCCAGTCAAAAAAATCTGAGCTTATTTTCAACAGCTGTACTTCGGACATTGTTTCACATGGTATTTTCTTCATTTACTGATATAGAAGGTATAAATCTGTTGAATGAACGCTTACGTAATTTTGAGTAAATTGTTCAGTGTATCATGATAGAGTGAATAGTCTATAATATGAAATTCATAAGTCGCTTTATGTTCTCAAATATTTTCAGTATTACGTGTAATGGTGTTCTGTGGCTAAAGTTAGCTTCAGTCACAAGAATCCACTATATATCTCATTATACCAACTAACTTTGCATACAGGACTTCACTTAATACTTGAGGATTGATCTTTTGTTCCAAAGTAGTACTACATCATAAACAGTGACAACGCATCAGCATTCAGCTAGGGACTTTTTCTGTGAGAAGATATAAATTTACATGGGCACAAGAATCCTGCGAAAAAATATGTTATTTAAGTTCTTCTGACAACTGCCTAATAGTAACATGCATTTCTTGGTCTTTTGGTATCTTGTGAAGATGTGGTTTTACAATAGGCGGAATTCTGCCTTCACCAGCTACGCATATATATATATATATATATAATCGTCATCTCTATCATTAAAATCGAATTTTTGAGATTTTGGTTTGAATTTCTTTGATCCGTTTTGTTGGAAGTAATTTCAGACGTTATACTGGGCTGCACAAATGATTTGAAAGTAGTATTGGAGTTTCTTCCTTCCGTTAAGATCTCATGTTAGGAAAACAAGTGTTTTCACACCACCTCTTCAATTATCCTTTTGCATAAATCATTTGCAGGTAATTGGAATAATAAGTATATAAGTTATATGTTATCAAACGAAATGAGGTAGTACTACGCTGTCCAGTACTCCCAGCTGGTTTTCCAATGGTTCTCTAACCAATGATGAAATCCTGTAACCAATCAGTCAAATCCGTACTAACCAATACTTGAATTATCTCATTTTATCCCACGTTTCACCCTTTCATAGGATATAATAAAAAGACGGTTGCAGCGAAGAAAAATTTATTTTTGGCAAAGTCAACAACTAGGCTGTACAATCGTGTTTTTATAATAAATGGGTGGGGAAGTTCCAGAATAATTTCCGATCAAGGGTCAAAATAATAAAATTACAGTTAGGAATTAAAATGCCATGATAAACAGGGGGACGGATAAAACTCAACCAGCGTAGCATCATGATTACTGAGAAGATTCGCATTTTGTGCAATTAGGGGTTAGAAATCTAGAAATAACAAAATAGACAGGATGGTCGGATAAAAATTCTAGTGGGATCATAACTAATGGGACGAATAATTTTTCATGCAATCAAGGATTAAATGTGTAGAAATAATAAAACGACAAAATAGGCAAGAAGTTAGAATATGAAAACATGGCAGTGTAAATAGGGATTAAGAAAAATGTAGAAATAACATGAATAAACTGGAAGTTTGGATGAAAAATGCGATGGAATAGTCACTATTAAAAGAGTTACCTGTTTATGATGGCTGTGAGAGGGACAAAGGGTTGGATGTATTCCTTTTGGATACATGGCGTGGGTTTGAGCTTTTGGATAGCTAGTACCTCGACTATGCTCAGATGTTTTAATTTTACTCCCCTTGATAGGTTTGATCAAATCTTGTGTATGATTTTGAAGGATTTTTCGGATGGCGCTGAATGTCCCTAATCGACCAGATGTTCTGTCACTGAACTATATACGCGTTTTCGTTCTCCTTTTACTAACCAGACTGGATAGTGTTCACGAGCGCGTTTTTTCAAGTTGGTGCATGGTACGGTCGATGTACTCAGCTCCGCACGAGCAAGTAACCTGGTATGTGCACTTTGAAGCGGCCCAATGCTACATCTTGTTTCTCGCGTTCTCGCTGAACAGTTTCTTTCAGAAAAACGTTAGTCGTAGGTTCGCGGTGAAGTATGTTTTCCACAGAGATTCGCAGAGGCGTTTACGAAGGACTTCTGCTTCAATATCACCTTTGAATTCTAGATTAGGCAGAAGTACCTTCTTCGTGACGGATTGAACTTGTTCGGAAGTCTTCTTTGATTTGAGATTCTTGTCTCTGAACCTAGGCGGGAAACCGTTTTCCATCAAGGTTCCTCGGAGATTACGCAGTTCTTCATCAATCACTTCCTCGCTGCATATCTTCCGAATCCTCGAGGAAAGGGCGTATATAAGGTTCCTGTTTCTGCTTAGGGGCACGAAGCTTTGAAAAATGATGAATTGTCCATTGCATGTAGGCTTTTTGTATATGAACTTTTTACGAGAGTTGTCGGCGTTTCTTGTCAGGTGGATGTCGAGAAAGTGGAACATTCTGTCGAGTTCAGCTTCACGCTTTATGATTTGTTACCTACCCAATTTCTTTTGCATTTTCGTTATTTATCAGCTTCTCACCCAAATGTGCATTTATCCCACCTGTTGAACGCAATACATTTGGTCCCATTTTTTCTCCAGATGACACAACTTTTACAGAGTGCTTTCTTCTGATTCTTCTTTTTCAGAAATGGAGAATGTGTTAATCAAAGAAAACGAATGGGAATACAATTGTGTTCATAATGTTTTAAACTGAAAATTGAAGCAATTAAAAATCCTTGTTGAATATTTTACGGATTCTCTGGATATAATTTTGTCCAAAGATTAATTTACTTTTAAGACTGGTTAGAAAATCATAAAATAGGGTTGTTTTATGCCGATAGTGTGTAAGTGTAAGGCGCTTAAGTGTGACTGATTAATGCTTACATCCAACCACATTAAGTAGCAGAGCAGTTAGTCATGAGAAAAAAATAATAACTGGTTATTGTTGTTTCACAGACATTGTAGTTAAAGTGGCCCCTTGTGAACACTATCAGGATTTTATTAATTAGGCTGTAGCTACCAAAACTGATTTGTTGTAGTCCGAACACAGGGAACCGGTCTTTGAATTCTACTGTATAGATGTCCGATTCTTCCTTGAGAGACGTATAGTCACAAATGCCTCGAAGACAGCAAATAGACGACTTTTCGTTGATGTATCTGTGGTTCTATTCAACAACAGCAGTAATAACATCAAAAACTCAAAATTCCCTCAACAGTGCTGTCAAGGAATTTAACCCTAAGTTCTTATTATTTGCGAAGACGCTCCGAATCGACAACTACTAGGTATGATTATTGAATTTAACTCCAAAACACAAGGACTTGTAATAAGAAAATATATTCTTCAGTAGTTGAATTTGATATTTCATACAGAGTCTATAAACAAATGTTTTACAAATAATGTACTGTACTTTTATTCGTATTCTTTCGTCTTCTTCCAACTTGTACACGACTGAACCATTCGCGCTTTCGAGTTGCCCGTCAATGGCAACCAAGGCCAATGAACCAACGTTCAGTGTTCACGTTTATTTACAAGTGCCGTTAGGCGACTGTACTGTCTAGTTAACTTTCTAAGTATAAAACGAGTACCGTAAAACAAAATTAGTTAACCAAAACTCAATTATAAGAAGTACCCAGAACCAAGTGGAATATTCCCAACCAGATGGAATCGAAAACTCTGTCCACAAGAATCACACACCACCGCTTTCCGGAGACACTCCCGGGTCAGAATGATCTTGATTTACTCAAACAAAGTCACATCGTAAAACAACACGTTACCAATGTGTTGTACAACAATAAAGATAAGCATTAAAATCCGAGATTGAATAGAGCCGGAGACAAATAATGAGGATCAAATCAACATGCGGTATGCATGCAGATGTCAGGGCAATCATATATAGTCTAGAAGAAAAACGGATATTAATTACAGGTTAGTTGAAGCGTCCTAACAAGTATAAATATTGTGGTTAGATAGTCCAGGGGGGATTTTTCAAACAATTTTTCCATTAAACCAGCCACCCAAATCCCTCCGTAGATTTTAAGACACCTTCTGACGCATTTTGTCATCGCTCTGTCTTTTACATCTGGGGTCCAGTACTTACAACAGTGTGCCTGCATAACTCCACCTTAACCTATCACCCGTATCTCTACAGTTGCTTCAAGAAGGCAAAACCTTCGTATATTCCTTTTTTACAACACCTTTTTTCATACGCGCTATTACTGTTCTCATTAGACCGTTCTTATCCTTGTTACACTTTTAATCTATTCCAACCGGCCACACACCTCGTGTTGTTACTACTTTGGAAACAAGCACTACATTCCCTTCCATGAAGTTCCCATGTCTTGAAAACCACTTGTGGCGAACCTATAATAATAGGACATATTCTCTAATACATATACGCCAGAAAGTATTAGTTATGCATTTTACTTGTCTCCAACTTTTACAATACCTGCTCACAATATTGTCTTCTGTTATCAAACCAGCACAGGCTATCAGTAACAGGAGTGTATTGGGCTTTGGAGCTAAGTTATCTTTCTTATTTGACGTTATCAGGACAATAAGGCGATTGTTCAGAATTCTTTCATTTTCTACAGAATGGGCCGCTGAAGTATCATCGTGCAAGATCTGCTCCTTAGAAGTCATTAACATCAGTCTACCAACCGAGCGTATTATTATTTCCTGTATCCCACCCTGATGGGTGACAGATGGAGGATTGAAATGCTATTGTATACCTCTGGACGTCATAAAGTTATTTATTTTGTGTTTATTCCACTTCGTAACTCAGAGACCACTCCAATAAATTTCGACCTATTGTCACTATAGATTTCTGTTGATGTTCCTCTTCTCCTTATGAAACGCATCAAAACCATTATGAAGGTATTAGTATTCACGTTGAAAACCACCACTAATAGTGTAGCTCGTGTTTGGAGACATGTAAGTATGCAGCCGTATCTCTCTTTTCTTCACTCCTCCTGCGGCAAACAAGTAAAGTTCCGAAATAGTCGATTTCTACTGAGGGAAAACGAAGCCACACCTTTCTCACACTTCATTTTGGGAGAGGTGCTATCAACGATAATATCTTGCGTTTGGCTGCCTCTGTTACTTCCAATGTCAGATAAATAATGTTCAAGAGCTTATCTTGGCTTTAGGTATGTACAGTGATGATACAGACAAACAAGCTACTGATTTCGTCAAAGTCATCCAGTTCGAGTAGTAACACAATAGTCTATTGAAGGTTCTATCCATGGTACGCATATTAAATCGTATGGATTCCTCAAGCTCAATATTTTATTATATAATTGTTAAGCCTGATGAACATTTACGGAAAATATGTTTTTGCCTGCTTAAACTGTGCTCTATATTTATCATAATGAAAATGTTAAAATTACAAGGATAAAAAGTTCAGCGAAGAGTCTCTTTATGGCAAATTCATTCAATTAGCTGTACAAACACAATTATATGCATATTTATGTTTTGCGTGTGCGTACATTAGGCTTGTCAAACAAGAATAAAAATTAGTTAGGGTTATTGTTTACGTCATCAAAATGTCTCAAAAATGTGATGAATAATCAAATTGTAACTAGGGTGTGAAGATTAGTAAGTACTGACAAGGGCTGCGTAATATGAAATAGGGTAGAAAGAATAAATAAAGGATTGATTAAGAAGATGTTACTGAAAAGTCATAAAAAAATTCAGAAAAACATTAATAACAAAGTCGAAAAACTTGGAATTATACCTAAGGTTGAAAGAGGGGGTGGAGAAGCTTCTTTTGTGTACGTAAATCAGGGTTTTCTATCCGGATTGCTAAGGCCTCGGCAATGCAAAGTATACGGAAGCTTACCGTTTTCGCGAGGCTTCTTTTGACTTCGCAGATGATTTTGAATAAATTCTCCTTACATTTTGAGTGACTGATGTTGAATATATGTTCACTTATAGCACTCCTTATTGATCCCCTGTTATCTTCTCCAACCCTCCTTCTACCTCAGGCATAATTCCAAGTTCTACGACTTTGTCATCGATGTTTTTTGAATTTTCGTATGACTTTTTAGTAACATCTCCCTCTACCTGTTACGTAATTTACTTTCGCTACACGTGTCTCCGTTAACATCCTATTTCGTATTACGCAACCCTTGTCAACACTTGTCAGTCTTCGCCCCTTAGTTACAATTTGATTATTCACCACATTTTTGAAACATTTTGAAGACTTAAACAATAACCCTATCTAATTTTTATTTTAGTTTTGTTCGACTATCCAAATGTGCACTCACACACAGAATAATTATCTATAACTGCGATTGTACAGCTAAGTGAATGTGTTCGCCGCCGAAAAGAGACTCTTCGCTGAATTTTGTTGTTCTTATATTCATGTCTGGATGGGTATTTTCCGTGAATATTTAATTATTGAAGACCTATGAATATCATGGAGTGCTGAAAGCGCTCAATGGATTCTCGAAGTTTATTTATCAGATAATATTTAGAACCCTTTCCAAAGTGAATTTTCACTTTGGAAATCTTGAAAACAATGAAACTCTCTCAGAAGTGTGGATATTCCAGTCCACAACTCTTTTTACATGCATTTCTGAAGACAGATGCAGAATCAAATAAACGACAGTCCACACAGTGAAAATATTATCAATGGGGTACTAAGTTCGAACCCAGTAGCTCATGTTTTTCACGCCTGTTTCATTCACTCACGCTAAGAAATCTCTTTTCACTTTACTCTAAGACAAGTCGAGACAGTTCGAGTAATTTGGACAAAGAATTTGATGAAGGTATTGCCAATGAAAGAACAAAATGATCATTGGGGATTAATCACTGCTGTCGATACAATGACATGGAAGTTCCACAAGAAATATTAGAGAATAAAACTCAATTTTTATTTCGTATTAGTAATATTATTCATCTGAATAAAATATTATTAACATTACAAAAAGTAAATAAGGATTAACATAAAGCAGAAGATATTTAAGGTAATTCTTTGTGTTAACTGTAGCGTATTCATTTAAAATCTAAAACAGGGAAGGAAAATAAATTAATGTAGCAAAACAATGCAAAAATTGATGTACAACATGTTGAAATGTATCTTTAAGGGTACTTTTAAAGTAAACATTTATTTGAAGATATTGAATTGTGCCGCACTGAATTAACGCAAACGTGTTCGCTGAAAATACCCCGCTTATAACAATACAGTTTGCTATGTTAATTGGTTGCCTTAAGGTATTTAAACAAAAGTGAAGTATTTTTGATGAATGGTGCCTGTCAGTGTAATTCAGAACGAGTGCTTCTTCCTATTAGGGTCTCGTAAACTGGATGTAACTGCATTCTCCACTGAGTAATGATGGTCACACTGAGTCTCTAACCCAGTAGTGTCTATCGTTTCAAACATCAAAGCGTGGATGAGACCCAAATAGGACCAAACGCTCATCCTGGATTCCACTGTTAGTCACCATTCACTAAATTACTTCAAAGGTAACCATCAGATATCGTCGAATCTTCTGTAGTGGGGGCTGACATGTCAAGTAATGTCGACCGTTACGGCCTAATCGATCAACTAACGGGAAAATCGAAATTGAGCAAAGTTAAGCTATCATAGCCAAGGCCACAGTAACCTTGAAAGAGCAGTCAGATCTCAGATACAAAAATGTTGCATAATTGTTGAAAAATACATTAAAAAGTATTGCTAACATGATATGACACTGTATGGTTGTAGCATATTGTAAGAATGTCTCCCAGTCAATACACAGATGATCTCTAGAGAAGTCGTACCATGTGCAATATACCCATTCATCCAGGTGACTGCACGTCATCTACTTTCACTCTGACCATAATTCAAACTCCTGAAACTAACTTCAACATTTGAAAGACCTTGACTCTGTCTATGATACTGTAACTTCGCCACCCAGTCACATTTCAGGTCCTTTGTGTTAATGCTGACTACATTCTGTCAGTGGCACCATTGAGTGACGCAGGTTCGAATCTCTGTGAGGACATCGAAATCCTTCAAGGTTTCAGTTATGCTTTGATGACAGGAGCCAGAAAAGACAAGACCTAGATGGAGAGCACTCTGCCGACTGCATCTAACCATCTAATACCAATTACAAAAAATGTTATGAAGTTGGTCATACTCTGGTCTACTTTTTCTCATTAGAAAACTGTTCAACACATTTGTTTTGAGGCAGAGGAGTCTAATCCTTGTGGATAAGCTATTCATATGTATCAGGATAACGGTGTCAAAATGTTTAGTTCATGCATAATTCCGTTTATTTGCTCCCCATCCTGGATAACTTGATGAGAAATCATTGGAAGAGTAATTAGATAAACATTTTTGGCAATAATCCAATAGAGAAATTTCACGATCCTTTCAAGAATTTTGTAGGAAATATCATTCAGTACTAATACTGGAGTCTCTGAGGACTACAGAACTGTGAGAATTCGCCTCACCTTCTTCCTAGATGGCTTGACAATGTGGATTCAAACTACAGTACAACATTTAGCTAGATTGCTCTCGTTTTAAAAGTTTCCCATTGGATGTCTTAACCTGATGAAGATGCTTCTTACATTATTAGACTTTTATAGTTTCTTTGACGAGTACGAAATAAATCTAATAAATTTTCGGCGCTCAGGGTGGATATTGATTTGAAAGGAAGAAAGTAATTACAGACTCACCAACATTTAAATAATTTACTTATGTCAACTCACTTAGTGAAAAACTTCCATTAAAGTATTCGCATACTTTTCAAATGTTTTGAAGCACTAAAACAAATTTTGAAAAAGAAAAAGAGATTTCGATTAAAATGAGCTCAAACTGAAGTTTATGTGTCAGTGGTTTAGTGGCAGAATCCTTGCCAACCGCGTACCTACTCCGGATTCTAATCCTAGCCGATGCATTCTCAAATCCTGCTTAGCCAATGGCGATCCCAGTAGTGAGTGATAGATGGGGTGGAGGCTGACACCCCTGCACTACGTTAAAATGACACCATCGCTATAGAAACTTCGAAGCTCTGGCTTGAATCCTTTTGCTCTGCTTGGAATGAAAGGTAATGAGAAAAACTGGAGTTTCACTTTTAATTCTAAATCACCAAATAATATCTAGTTGGTAATTAGCATTTGCATCTTTTTGGTTGAATCGTTAACTCGAAGTTACTTCTTTTTGATTGAGGCTGACAGGCTTGAAATATTTCCTTAATGTGATTCAAAATGAGTTATTTGTATTAGTAACTAAATAAATGGAGAGTGAGTCAAGTTAGCCCTCTTCAGTAGACTTCTTATCAAAAATAAGAACTTGACTGGTTAATAATGGCCTACTGAATTTTAAACAAAATTTGAAAAATGTCTCATTAGAAGCAGGTATTGTTCTTTAGAAGTTTCATTACAATTTTCTACCTAGAGAATACAAGTCTGTGTGACGATGGACTCTAGAATGTCAGTTAAATGAACCAGTTCAGAGAACGAAACAACATCTAATCTACAAGTCTCCCCCATTACAGGGAGATTGTGTCTTGAGAGGGGAGTTCTAAAGGAATGAGGAGAATAGTTCAAAGAAATGACCATTTTCTGACTGAAGAGTTTGATGATAAATTAGTATTAGATAATATCGTTGCCTTTCTAGTGTCATTGTGTAGGGATTTGGCTGCTTTCAAATTTGGTCATGGAATGATATCAGTTGGAGGACCATTGAAATCGAGGTGGAGCCGACCGGTCTCGACTTCTCACTAGAATTCCAAATACTCTTCAATGACAATGTCTAGTTCTAAAAGTCGCGAAGTGATGGAATTTAGAATTTATGGGCTTTAAGATTCTGTCTCAATGGTTGAATGGTCATCGAGCTTTCGTCTTAACCTGAAGATCATGGGTTTAATCCTGTGTGGTGTCTAGGGTACGTAAGAATCGTTGAAGTATTCCAAACTATGATGAAAAAGCTTTCCAGCGTCTTCTGGTTTTCAATGGCTCTTCAACTGATATTGATCCGTGATCCCACTTGAATATCATAAACTGTTAGATAACGTGCTTGTGATTTACGTACTTGCTTACGTGCGAAAAGTCAACGAAGAAAAGTGTACACTTACTTGTTTATCAGAAGAGCAAATTTGTTCGATTGTCTCTTGGATGTATTCTTGTGTGACTGTGAATTTCAAGTGTTCTTTGAGTGTATTGAATATCTGCAGCATGGCACTGTCAACTGTGAAAAGCAATGACACAAAAGTTATGTTCGGTATAAAATAAAATCGGTCACGCTTTCATTTATTGTCATAGTTTAAGTATATTCACTTGTTTCGACTAAAAATACTTGATTAAAAGTTGGATGATGCATATAAAAGTCTATCTTAGATTGAAAACATTGAATACAGCGAATGGAAAGCGCCAATTTCAAATTGTCTCAGCTACCTGACTGTAGAATTGACTAAAGTGGTAAATAAGTAGAAAAATCCAAAGGACTGACTTCTGAGAGTGGCACGGTGACATAGGGTAGCAGGTTTAATGAACCTGACGATCCTCACTCTCCGCATCATTCGGCGCTTATAAGGTTGCCTATATTGTCTGTTTCAGTGCATTAGATAGGCTGTTTCCTTTCTCTAATCAGGATATTTAGTAATCAGAATAGATATTTTTTTGAAAATTAATTAATTTCCAGATTATAACTTTCGTCAGGGGATCATTTTTATGATATGTTCGTCGTTATAACTAATGTGACTTCCTAGATATCTAATTTAAATGAAGCGCTACAGTGATTGTCTTTCTTCATAAAGCTATACACCATTGCTTGATTGAAGTGGGTAATTTTTATATTACCCATGTCAGTGAGTAGTGCTTGATAACCAGATCGATGTGACCTAAACATCGGACGGCAGAGATCACAAGCCGTGTACTAGGTTTGACTCAACTCAAAGATCCGAATCAGTTCAAACCACCCAACTGTTTTTCAAGTAGATCACAGTATGTGATTATTAACTTATTACATAACCCGCTTCCTGTCACTTGAATGAATGAGTGTCTATATTTTGATAAGAATCGCAGGCTTCTTGCCCTACGTTATCACCTAGTCACATAGTTGACGCATGAATAAACACTCTACTTAATCATCAATCTAGAAGTTAATTGGTGAATGGTGACTAGCAGTGGAATCCAGCATGCGCATTTCGTCCTATTTGGGACTCGTCAGATCGATGTACCTGCATTCGGCAGTGAGTGATGATGTTCCTATTGAGGAATGCAGGTACATCCATCTGACGAGTCCCAAATAGGACGAAACGCGCATCCTGGATTCCACTCTAGTCACATCCTCCAATTAACTTCTAATTACATGCCCAGACATCGTCGAAGTATCTGCACAAGGAGCCAACATGTCAACCTGAGACCGAGCACTTCGGTCCAATCAATCGACGGGAAAATCTAAAATTGAATTCAATAATCATTAATCTGCTTAGATAACATAGAACTGTGAAATATGAATATTAAACAAGTGGTCATTCTATTTAACCTCATTTGTCAAACTGTCTTCATTCAAGCACTCCGAAGGATATTGAAGAGCTAACCAGTAACAAGTGAATATGATGTTCGTTTGAAAATATTCACAGTCTTGTTTTAACTCACAAAACAGTTACGTGACACATTTAAAAAAATAACTTACAAGATGAATCATCTTCACTCATCATTTCATATTGTTGAGTAAGACATACTCCGATGTACTGTAAGCGAAAGTAAAGAAATGATTATGATAAAATACGGCTCTTAGATGGTTGGAGGCAATCAGCAGTAGACCTTTGTTGAACCTAGGTTTCATGCTTGTTGATCCTCATCAGTCAGCAAGGAGCATCTACAATCTCGAAGGAACTCACTTACCTTCTGAGGTTTGAACCCATATTATGGCATTTGCTACTGATAAGATTTATCAGTAGTATATGAAGAGACGTTAATCAACATGGAAACATCAAATAACAGGGAGATAGGTATGATGTCAGAGAAAGCAAGTGATACAGCGTTGTGAAGATACATGGGAGATGACGTGAAAGGAATACAAAAAAAACACAATATGAAGGAAGGCGAGAAGTAGCACAACACGGAAGATCTGTTCAAATTAATGATTTGAAGATTAGGCATACATAATTTTGCTACACAGAAATACCAGATAGCGTATTAGCCTGCCTTTACCAAGTCTTCGTTTTCTACCGTTACAATGTCACTTAGTGTTGGAGTCAGAAAAGTTACCACTGAGCTGATTGCCCCCAACCATCTAATAACAAAAATTCAGAGTGCACCATGTTGATGACCAATTGTTTGCGAATATTAAGTACTTTATAGATAGATACATAGTTTACTTGAGGAAACAAATTTGTTAAAAGGTGTCATGTTCTTAATTTAAATGGCTTATCAGTCCCTGTAATCACTGACGTAATCCCTTGATGCACATCAAAAAGCTTTTCCTTTGATTTATCCCTCTCTCTGATAAACTTCAGTGAAGTAGTCAAAATTAGCAATACTTTAGATTATGAGTGTTAATGGAAAATTTCTTCTTTACCAGATAATATTTTTATGGCTAATGTGGTGTATGCTACTGACAAGATTTACAAATAGTATATAGTAGTTGTAGATATAAATATGTATATCATCTGCAAGAATATCTCATAACAGAGAAATGGATTTAATGGCGAAGAGAAGAAATGAATTATGCTTGTGAAATAACATGGAAAGCATGAAAGGAAAATAAAGGAAGACAATACGGAAGACAAAATTTGTACACTATCGGAGAAACTCGAGTATTGTGATTCTAATATACCTTGGATTTATTTCGCTTATATCTGTACACCAGATACTTTTGTTTTCAGTAAGTTTTTGTAGGGGTTTGTGGGGTGAAATACCTGTTCGGTACTACCTGGTTTCTAATGTTTCTCTAACTCACATCACTCCGTTGTTAAACTTGAAGTGCTTTTGTGTTCTGCCATTACAGTTGTAAATCTGTAGCTGAGTACTAGGATGCTCCACCTCATGGTACAAAAGTCACTGACTCGAAACCCAATGAAGCTGTGAGTGTGCACGTATGAGCGATCCCAAAGTAGAACTGAATAGTCATCCATCACTCCTAGTTTTCAATGACTTCCTAACTGATGTTGGGATTTCAATATCATTCACTGCTCTAGGGTAGTGCCCTTTCATGTAAAAACTAAATTTGAACTGCTAACCATGAGATTTTCCAGCGCAGAAACAATAGAACAAGGAGTAAATGTAAGTGAAAGGTAGAACGAAATTTCAAATAAACTTTTAATCCATAAAAATTATTTCAGGTCTGAGTCGTAATTGCCCTGTGATTTCTTTTCAATTTTCGTGGCCTGCTCAAAACTTGGGTTACCAAACATTTCTCTTGTTCACTTTGTTTTAATCTATGAAAATATGACCTCTAATGGTGTTTTCTACTCTCGTGAATATTTTAAATATCTATAACCTACTGATTCGCAAATTTCTACTAAACTTGGTAAGAAAAAGCGAAATCGTGGATGGCAACTTATCTAAATACATGAGACATAACTGATCCTGAGATTTTAAGCGCAATCACTGCAACTTCTTGCGAAATCAAACTGACTACCTTCAATCTTCATTTATTCACCTATGTCCTTAGGTCCGAAATCGTACTCCTTCCCCTTTTTTAGTTGGCTTTCATCCGAATGTCGTGTATTTCTCGAAAGAGACAAAGAAGGAGCATCATAAAAGATTGGTTTGCGTTTCAGGTCAGGTAACACTGTGTCGAGTGGTCTACTGTCAATTACTATTTTCCTTGAAGATCCTGGACACAGAGAAACTAGTATGCAATAAATTTCGCTAAAAATTCTGTACATTTCATAACAACCCTTCAGAATAAAACTATTATTAATGTTATGCAATGGGCGAGTACAGAATGGGCTAGTTAGAGTCAAATTATTACACCGATTTTGGACACATGAGAATTGTAAGTAGATTTCAAGAGACTTTTAATTTTTTCTTGGGATATTCAGTCAGTGGTTTCCCTCAACATTAGCGAGGTCATTCTATGGCTTAGTCAATATAATAATTGATACTAACAAACTTTCTACAAAAGACAAAGGAGTGGAATTTGACCATTTTTGTGCTGTTAACCGTCTAAAAATGTCGTTGTTAATGATCATAGTAAGAGATTATAATGATCAATTTGAATTCCAGCTTACGAAATACCAGTTAAAAGGTTCAACTCGTACTGTATTTATAAGCTATACATATTTGCCAAACTGATTGTCTAACTTAAAGATCCTGAGTTTAATCAGACACAAGGTGATGCAAACACGTTAGTGCTGTTGGCTTTATGGAAGGAAGGACAAAGACACTCTGCAGTACCAGTCAGTTTCGAGTGAACCTCTGGCTTTTATCAACGACCTGGATAAATTTTAATTTGTTAAGAATTGAGATTTTTTATTGCTTAAGTTAATATTTGGAGGTAGAACAATATTATAAGGTATAGAACTGAGTTTGAACTATACTAAATAGAATTATTATTCAACTACGACGTTAGTCTATAAAACAGGGTTCAAGAATTTATCTTCCAAACAGGTAAATATTCTGCTAGTAACTGTTGCACAATGGAAGATTTTCTCCAAATTTATAAACAGCTTTTGAACAGCTTTTTGATAATATGCAGACGAGAACTGGACAGTATTTTAGCAACTCATTTCAAAGCTGTTCTCTGTATTAAATAAAAATATGTAAGGCCAACAGCTAATTATCAAACTGGAATTCCAGAATTTAGACATATGAAACATCAACGATGTTAGAAAAAAGAGAAGGCAATCTATGCAAAAAACTTACTCTGCATGGCTCATAAACACTCATATTCACAGCGAAATCATGCAGTTTCTCTTGGAATGGACCATTGAAGAAGGCTTTACACTGAATAGGCAAATAAATAAATAAACAAACAAATATACAATTAAGGAAATTATAATCTGAAAGTAAATCTTCGGAGGCCCGCTTAAACGTTGGTATATTGAAAATCTCCAGCATTATATTGCATATAATTTCTATTGTTCAGTTTGTTTCAGTTCACGGAAATATAGCCCTTGGTAGTATTATTTACTCTTGTGAGTATTTAAAAATGTTGAGAACCTGCCGGTTAGTAAGTTTCTATTAGACTTGTGAAAAAGCATAATCCTGACTGGTAACGTATGGCAGTACATGAGA